CCATAATTATATATGATATTGATAAATTATTTGTTTTATGCCATGAAATTTAAACTAGTGTCATGCTGATTTATTAATCACAAATTTAAACAAAAGTGTTGCAGCCAATGGGTAAAAAGGAGTAATCTATCATGGTTTAGATATTTATCTTTTGCTACAAAATCTGTTGCTAATCCCTTTTGTTTCAACTATTCATTTAATTTATAATTATGCTGTTTCAAAAAAAAAAAAAAAACCTTTTTTTAGATCTGCTTGTAATATGATCAAAAAATATATAAAATTTTAGTTTATCCTAACTATAAAAAGTAGCAACTTTAGCTTTACTAAAAATATAATAGAACCAGTTTTTTGTAAAATTTAACTGTTCTTAGTTTAGATGGGTATTCTTCTAATAAAAAATTGGAGAAATCATTAAAAAGAATTATATTTCTTCCTAACTGTGTGTCCCATTTCTTGCAAAAGCAATATTTTTTTTTTTAACTTATATTTTTATCTAAATTAGCATTGAGCAAAATCTCAATATTTTCAACATTTCATTGTTTTCACTTTCTAAAGTACAATAGTCAAAATACCATGTTATGTTTATTTAACTACTTCTGGAAAAATTGACCAAATCGAAAAATTATTGACTTATTAGTTCCCATTATTTACCAAATGTTTGTGTTGTATCTAATCAACATACATGACTATTTGGTGTAATACTCAACGCATACAATAGCATTGATTTATGATTTGAAGTTTTTAAATTTCTTTTTAGACTTGAGGCAAACAATCAATAAGTAATTTATTTGTCCTATTACTTTGCTTGGAAATTCATCAAATCTCAGAGTTCTTTTATTTGTTTATTTGAATAAATTAATCTGTGAAATAATTTCCTTAAAAAAATAATAATAAATAACATTCTTAAGATAAAAACTGCATTCAATAATATATCAAATTATGATTGTAATTTTAGATATAAGTTAAATTATTAGTTTAGATATGTAAGTTAAATCACTGTCACAAAAATATTTCGGATATTACTTATGATCATTTTCATGTTTTAACCTATATGTAATTAGATTTAATGATAGGATTAATAATTTTTGTGTTTCATTGCCAGATTCAGAAATAGCTTTCATAAAAATTTGAACTAAACCATTAAATCGATAGATATTCTATCAATTATTTTTTAGTTATTTTATTGACATGCTTTGAGTATTTTGGAGTTAAAATTTTATATTATATTGAATTTGATTCTATGTTTTACATGAAAATCCAAGAAGAATTGGGTTTCATCTATATATATCCCTGATTAATCATTTTTTAAATCAATTTAATAATGGATGCTACATAATTATGTGTTTAAAATTATTAAATCTTTAACAATAATCTTACTACAATCATACTGACACACACAGAGAAATGGAATGAGAATTCAACTACGCATATACATTTAGGGGAAAAAAGGTTTGTATTATTTTTAAAATAGTACACATAAGAGTGCAATTCATCAAAAAAGAAATTATTTTTCTTTTAATATATTATGTGTTTAACAAGCTTCATATTTTTATAATTTTTCACTTTCCTTATCTATTATAATAAATTAATTTTTAAGCTGATAGTCTATGATAAAACTTTTGGTGCTAGTTGGTAAAAATTTGTTTTAGCATTTTTTTAAGCATTTATTACAAATTAATTTCAATGTATAGTCGTTAAAAAATATAATAAATCATTTCAAGTTGTTAGTAGCCTATTATATATACATTTATTCCTTATTGTTACATTTAAATGATTATTAATAGATTCAATATTTATTAAATTGCTTTATATTTTTGCTATGAATGTATAAATTTCTTAAATTTTGAATATTTATCTTTTTGTTGATTACTGTGGAATAGGACCTGCATATCATTTTTATTATTTTATAAATTGACAAATTTCCTTCCTAAAAGTGAGGAAGATATGGTTTAATAGTTCATAAAATGTTGACTTTTATTTTTATGCATCGAAAAGAGTTTTCTAGTTTCATATAAACTTTACCAACTTGCTTCATGAGTATCGGTATGTTAAAAAAAATTCCTTTTATTGGTAATTACTGACAATTTTGTATACATATTTGTTATCTAATCAAATTTGAGTCATGAAAATCAAGCAGCTGAAGTTTGATTTTATCAATTTAAAAAAAAAAATTTTTTTTTTCTGTCTAATTTTAAGAAAGCACTATTATGTGTACAATTTCTTCGAAGGGCTTAATTTGTTGGGAGAGTTTTTTCTAGCTAAAAATATTCTTTGAAGATAATTTTTATTTAAAAAGAAAAAAAAAATTGAGACATCACAGTAAAACTCTGAGTGAGCGTGCGCAAAGAGCCATTTGTTTCCTCATTGCGCAAGATGTAATAGCACCGTATGAGAAAATAAGATATCTTTTATGGTGAACAAGAAATTAGTTCAATGTGTAATTTATTACAAATTATGTTTCACACAACGATGTGGCTACAGAGATGCCAATTTAAGTTCTGACTATTACAATTACAGAAAAATCGGTTTTTAAAAATTACCCCTTATTTTTGTTATTTTTTTTTTAAAAATTGTAAATGATCTCTTTAAGTTATTTATAACCGTCGTTGAACAGCCGAACCAACTTTTGGGTTTATGACTACTAATTACTTTTTCGATTCGTACTTAATTTTTGGGTTTATGACCTCTCCATGTAACCCGCATTTGCGTTACATGGAGAGGAAGACCACGAGACCTGACAGCAAAGGGTCTTTAACCCATGATTCGTCTACCACTGAGGATATTTCACGTCAGCATTGTGGTCGATGCAAGACGGATGCGGATTCGTATCGACAGTCTCGCTGGATACGAACCCAGTTCACCTCATTGGAAGGCGAACGCTCAATTCCCTGAACCATCGCTGCTCAAATGACCTCTTTGGTAAATCAGCAATTTGTTAACTGATCGTTATATTTTTTTCAAGTCATCATCATCATAGATGGCCAGACAGCCCAATGCGGGCCAATGCCTTCCTCTGAAGATTTCTCCATAACGACTTCCGATTTATCCTTGATCCAGGGAGTCTAAAAAGCAATATCTTTTTTTTATTGTATTGTCACCGCCCATTCGAATCACGTGGGCCATCCAATTCATTCTATTAACTTTTATGTATTTAATAATATCAGGTTGTTTATAAATCTTGGTACAGTTCAAGGTTAAATCTCTCTCTATTTTTTCAAGTATTCATTTAAAAAATTGTCAGAAAACCAGGTCTATAAATAGGCCATTCTAAAAGAGTAGAACTTGGGCCATCCTGATTCATCATCTTATTTGGCATGACAACCCAGCATTGCCCTACCGTTCTAGGATTCATCTAGGACAGCCTATTATATGATGACGATTCTTTATTATTAAACAAATCAACTGAATGTTTTAACAGTTTTCCATTCCATTATCAAAGTTAAACATAAAATTAACTCTGCAACTTGTTAAAAATTGGCATCCCCGTGGCCTAAACTGAATAAATGAGGTGCTCTTATTACATAGGATATATAAAAAGACATTATTTGTTTGGAGTTTATTTTCATCTGAAAGTTGTACACATTTCAATTATATCCATAATGATTACTTAATTTTTAAAAAACGATGATTTTTTAACATCGTAATTTTTTTTAATGAGTTAAAAATAGTGGAGAAATATTGCTTCATCTTTTTATAAAGCCAAACATGAAAAAATTTTAAACTTATTTTTCACATTTGTATTTGATTTTATTTATTAATTTTGACAAATTTATTATGTAATGGTGGACTATTTTTACTCATTTATATAAAAAAATCATCAATGATTGTGCTCATAAAATGGTAATATTTTGAGCCTATTTCATATATTTGTCTATATTCACTTATTGTTTGAAATTAGTAAGGTAACAGTTGCATAGTATCTCTCATATTTTGTTAAGAGTTTTAACATAAATAATAGTTTTCTGATCTTCAACATAATCTAAATTTCTTCTCTGTATGTTTTATACAGGTAATTATAGCTAACACATATAACTTATCCACTTACTCAAACTCCATTCAAGGAGTTACAGTGGGAGTTTTTTATATTTTTAGTTCCATGGACCACATTTTTGTAAGCTACCAAAACTTTTTAAAGTAAGTTTGTACTTTTAAAATGGCATCTTATTTTTAAAAAAAATCTCATTGAAACGGGTAAGTAGAGAGTTTCAGAACTGACAAACTACTCTTTGGCTATCACAAGATGGTCTTTTAGTGAGATTGAAAGGTTTAATTTCATTAGGCTTAATTTAACATTAGCTAAAATAATCGGCCATAGTTTTTTATCCAAATGCCAAACCTAAGTGCTATTATTTGGGCCAATTAAGGCATTCAACGAAAAATTTCCTGGACATAAGTAACATAGTAGAAGATGAAAATAAAAAGATATTACAATTTAGTGAAGCAATCAGTAATAACTAAATTTGTAAATTGGGAAAATAAAATTTTTTACATTGCTATAATTTGTAAATTTTTTTCTTCTTCTTAAGACGAAGCCATACTGAGGAAGAAAATTTTCGTTGCAAATTCTCTTTCACCTTCATTATTAATTTAAAAGAACGAAAAAGTAAGTTGAGGCAAACCTAGAGTAAGTCATAAAGTTCCAATTGCTGAGAAAAAAAATACTTCGAAATATCAAACTGCAAACAAATTATTCGAAGAGAACTGCTTCGTTGCGTCATCCTTAGTTATCATCTCATAATTTATTTTCAGTTGTATATTTTAAAATTTTCTTCATGTCTTACTCTAGGTTTGACTGAACTCACTTTTTCTACATTTTAAAGTTGAAATTTTTGTCCCTAAATTCTGCTTTATCGCAATTTGCTTTCTCATTTTGTATCAATTAGGCTTCTTCTTTACTAATGCTGTTTTTTGTATGACTAGATATGGTAATGGGGTTCAAGGTCCATGGATTCCTGTTTATTCTAATAGTTTCTTATTAAATGCATTACTAGTAAACATTGTTAAGACATCAACAAATTAAGCCCTTTTTTTTAAATTTTGTTGATAAACAGTCACAGATTAGAAATGCTATTTACATATGTCTCATCAATGAACCAACACTCGTTGATTACGATATTGCTTTTGGCTTTTCGTTTCCCAGTATAAGTGTGTCTCTTTTGGCGGCATAACAAAGAACCGTCCATGAAATAAATAAACGTTTCACTTAGCAAAAAATGTCTAGTACTCGCGATCATCAATTCCACCATGCATATACCTATCTGTTGATGGTTGCTGCACCATTTCCTGCTGAGTTTCATAAAGAGGAGGCTGTTGGTAATAGTCGGTCACAGTGGCCCCGTAAGATGGGGGTGGTTGATCACCGGTCAGTGCTGTTGTGGCTGTGTCTGAGGAAAAGGCTGGTGGACCTCCATTCTGCTTAATGACTCCTGATCCGTCACTGTTAAAGGCCTCTGCCAATGGATTCCACGATGGACCTTCCTCGTCTTCTGGTGGCTCAGCCCACGGTTGCTTTTCACCCGATGCAAATAGGGCGTAGAAGATGACACCAGCAAAGTGAATACTACTTGCGATGAGGAATACTTTCTGCCATTCATCTGCAGTCTAGAAAACAATTATTTCTGCTGTTAAACTTCAAAAATATACAAATTGAAAAATAACATGTTTTAAGCGATGCAAAACAAACGCTCATTTTCAAGACTTGCCGGACGGGAATGAGAAGAAAACAAAGGTCTGTTAACCCTTTAATGGGCCATTTATTTCCGGTAAGGTTATATTAAAATACTTTTCTGAATTTAGATGAAAAAATTCATTTAGATTAGTAGATAAAGTTAATTTGAATTTTAAATTTTTTTTTCTGTGGTAAGTATGTTAAGGTATGCTACCCAATAGGTGTTAAGAAAAAAAAAAGAGAATTACTTTCATTTGTGAAATAAATTTTATAATCTCTCCAAACTGAAAAAGGAATTATATATTATAATTTATTTTACATTCCCTAAATACAGGCATATTGTTACCAATTTTATTCAATATTACTTCATCAGGGCTGAAGTTAATAACAAATGGGATACCAAAGCTTTGTGGTGGTAAGTATACTTACCACGGCTTTAGAAAGGTTTAAAAATATAAAACGTAAAGTTGCCAACGAAAAAAGAAAAATATTGGTGAGAAACAAAGCTAGAAAAACCACAGTATCAGAGAGAGAAACAAAAAAAAAAAAAAAAAAAAAAAAAANAAAAAAAAAAAAAAAAAAAAAAAAAGAGCAAGAAAAACCATTGTGGCAGAGAGAGGCAAATCAGGGTAAAATACAAATAGCAGCGAGGAAGCGGAGAAGAATCAGAACAAAGGTGTGAAATGCAGAAGGGTGATTAGAATTGTGATGACGAGTCAAGACGACAGTAAAATGATCAGGGTGTTTAGTTACAAGAACATCTAAAAAAGGTAAAGAAAAATTAATTTCCGCATCTAAAGTAAATTGAATGTTAAGGTCAACTGAATTGACAACAAAAAGTAACTCTTGAATATCAGTTATCACTGTTTACTTTTAAGGCAATCTATCTTTTCCACCATATGAATAATTAAAAAACTTCGAAATAATGCATGGATATGTCACAAAGAATGGGAAAGAGGGGATTGGGTCATGGCTAAACCCTCAACTCGTTTATAGAAATGACCATTGAATTGAAAAAATGTTTGCCGAATACAAGAATTGACAAGATGATAATATCTTCAATTTCAATGAAAGAGGTGGGAAATTCTTACAACCATATTGCCAATGGGTAAAAAACATAAAGAGAGAGAATAGTTTTGTTGGAGGGAAAAATGTGCTAGTTAGAGGTGACATGATACGCTCAAAATATCGAGCAAGTCCGGAGTACCAATGTTCGAAGCAATAAGTCCAAAAGCTATTGTTTCCCAACTAGCACATCTTTCCCCCTCCAATAAAACTATTCTCTCTCTTAATGTTTATTTCACTAATGTCCCTATTTCTATTGATTGTTTAAAACTATGGTTGCAAGAGTTTCACCGCCCTTTCATTGAAATTGAAGATACTATCATCTTGTCAATTCCTGTATTCAGCAAACTGCTTTTCAATTCAATGGTCATTTCTATGAAAAAATTGCAGGGTTTAAGCCATGGGCAACTCTCCTATTCATTGAGACATATTTATGCGTGATTTCGAAGGAAAAAGTGTTCGAATTCTCATGGTGGAAAAGATATGTTGAGGATAGTTTTGTCTCAAAAACAGACAGTGATACTCATTTTCAAGACTTACTTTCTGCTGTTAAATCGGTTGACCTCAATATTCAGATTACTTTAGACACGGAAATCAATTTTACTTAATCTTTTTTTAGATGTTCATGGGAATGAACATCTTGATCATTTTTCACCACTATTTATCGTAAAGATTTTGTCGTATCCGGACACCTAGTGGTATGAACTTAGAGCGTCCTGAACACATATTAATGTGATGTTTGTCTCCCTTTTGCATCGATGCCAGCTTTTACGCGTCTGGGAAGACTTTCCAACAGTTTTTGAGTAGGTGACCATAGGAATTGACTTCCCATCACAACTGAAGTGAGTGCTTGCAGTGAGCAAGGTTGCTTTGGCCGGCCACGTAATCTGCTCAAAAGTGTTCCATGGGATTTAGATCGGGGCTCTGAGAGGAACAGTCCAGTTTTTTAGCACCTATTTCTTCAAACCACGTCTGTGCAATACTCGATGTGTGTGAACGGAGCAGTTATCCTGCTGAAAGAGAAATGCTTCCCCGAAATATTACCATAGAGTTGGGAGTGCAGCATTGTCCACATACATATCAGAGTTCATGTTTCCAACCAAAGGGACCCAGGTTTAGTCACGAGAAACACCCCACACTATAATGCTTTCACCACCATAACAACCTGGATGTCCGGATACTATTGGTCGGATAGTGTATTAATTCCAATCACCCTAATTGTCAGACAATTTCTGCTTATCATACTTTCGTTTTCTGTGCACGTAACCTCTGCTCTATTTACCTCTTCTTCTTATTTTTCTTCGTAACCCCCCAAATCAAAATTGATGGTTTTCCATTGATCGACCTACATAATCTTGATGGTAACCGTCAATAATTCCATCATGACCCATTATATATTTGACGGTAACCAGCTTAAGTAAACATCACCCCAGTGTGGGAATTGCAACTGATTTATGATGGTTCAGCATAAGAATAGCAACTTGTTTTGATGGTATATTTCCCTGCTGAACGAACAGGCATTATTATAAAACCATCATGGAAATGCATTGTTGTACCATTTATGACCATTTAGAATTTCCATCGTAGTTGCTTAGAAATCAAATGTTGGAATTCGGACTGATTTATGATGAGCCAACATTTTTTTTTTCTCCAATGCCCACCTGTGTTAACATCCGGCAATTCAGGCATATACAGGGCGATTTTGTTGGCCTCTCTTTCAGCGGCACCCTATTAGGTGAGCCAAGGTCGCTCCCGCAGTGAGGACAGATAGTACAGAGAAGGAAAGAACATCCATGCCTTGCCCGGGATTCGAATCCAGAACCTTTCTGATGGAAGGGCAGTTCCCCTGCCCCCTACAAAGGCCGGTCGGCATGATGAGCCAACATAAAAAAATCCAAATTGTTTTGATGGTATATTTCTGAGAATAAGGAAGAATTTCTGGTCCATGAGAATCAAGCTTTTCTTGATGGTTAACCATCATATTATTAAAGTAGCATTTTCCATCATGGAAGTTTGCTGGCACTGTTCTAGGAGTCTCCTTGTCTTCTGAATTGGTTCAGAATTACAAGGCATTAGTAGTCGTAAACCCAAAATTGGGTCGGCTTTTCAACGACGGTTACAAAAAAAATAAAATATGAATGCCGAGACCCTTGTAAACAATATTAGTTCCTCCCCTCCATGACGCGTGGTAAGTATTAATGTATTTTACATGTTTTGCGGAAACACTAATGTAAAATGAGTGATATACAGCATAGTGTAACTAAGTAGTGGCATAAGATTAATTGCCACCATTGAAAAATGAATAGCTATTCACGTACGGATACGCTGTCTGGATGAAAGTCATCAGATAACAACTGTGCAATATGGTAATGGGAAGATTGATCAGATTTTTTAAAAGGTACCGCACCACTGCATTGTTTAAACTTAAAATATGTAATAATAGGCGATCGAATACTCCATCTGGTGAGAAGACCGGTTCCATGCCTTTGGCCCTTCCATCTCCTCTTTTTCAGTTGTATAGGAATGTACTACGATATATTTCTTTTTCTTAATATTTTTCATATTTAATCGTTAAAAATATCTTTTAATATTTCCATGATGCTTTCTTTTAGAACTATGTTCAATGTAGTTTTCAGTTCCATATAGTTTTCCAACTTAAAAGTTTTTAACCTATTTGAAAATCGAGACCGAAACTAACGTACTTCCTTCTTCTATGACGCTCCACACGCTAATGGTGAAAGCATGCGAAGCGTTGCCATAGGTAGAGAGTTCTGCTCTACGCCACCTGTTGTCTATTTCGAATACTAATAGCTTAATCTTTAGAAAGTTATTAAAACCAACGAATAATTTTTGCATTTTCTTCTGAACCCAAGCAAAATAGCATTGAAATTACTTTTCTGGTGTTAAAAAATTAATTTAAATTTTTGTAAAGCTGTTGCTTTTCTTTATCCTTAACATTTAGCACATTTTCATAATAAGGAATAAATCGTAACCTACATATGACCGCTGTTGAACAGCCGACCCAGTTTTGGATTTACGGCTACTAATGTTCAACTCCGTAGTCTTGTCATTTTGAACCCAATTCAGAAGACAAGGAAATTCCTGGATCAAGTATTGGATGAAATTTTCCTTCGTGGAGGACTTTTTGATGCAACTAACTCGCATTTGAGTTACATGAAGAAGAAAACGATGAAAACTTTCCATGGTTAGCCTGACGGCAAGGGGACTCTAACCCGTGATCCGTCTACCACTGAGGATATTTCACGTCAGCACTGTCACTGGTGCGAGTCGGGTGCGGAATTCGTATTGACCAGCCATCGGTGGGTTCACCGGGGTTTGGAAGGTTCACCGAAACTTCCAATGAGGCATCCGGGTTCACCTGTCTAGTATGAATTGCCTGAAGGATCAATTCATACTAAAGAGGTTGTTTTGCTAAAACAAAATTGCCATAAAATTACGGTACTAAATTTCCGGAGCAAAACATCCTACTGTAATTTCCTATTTCTTGATTAAATACGGTAAGTAATACATTTTTCAAGATGAACTCACCTCGTCTTGAGTGACTAGTTCCACAACAATGGGGCATATCATGCCCGATAGTGTTCCGAATCCGTTTGAAATTCCCATCAGGATACTTGCGTAACGAGGAGCAATGTCTAGATGGTTGACATTGAAACCTGTTGGAAAACAAATAGGTACACTTTAAGAAGACAATACTGGGTTGAAATTTATCTATTTTGTTTATTTATTTCATCTGGAGTTTTTGTGTACATTTTTTTTTAAATCCTCAATATCCTGTCATAACTGATAATGTTTCTGTTCTCACGACCATTCTGGTTGTTAGAATAAGAAGTTAACTGCTTCCCGGGTGGATCCTAAAATAGCCCACACCGTGGCGATTTTTTTAAATTTTCGCCAAACTAGGTTTCCGGAAGATTTTTCGGGGAGATTATTTTGTACGTCCGATCACACCACCGAAATTCTTAAACCTGATTGGTTATTTGACATGTATCGTTAGAAAAGAGGTAAAAGGGTTTATTTTTTCGCCATTTATGCTTCTGATTTCAAATTTTTATTTTTTGTTCTATCTTATTTTTATTACTATTATCTTATTTTTTATTCTGTTAAAAAATACTTTAATAAATTTCTAATAATTTAAATTTTTGATTTCAAAATCAACATTGATTCCAGTAATAATAGCCAACTTGGCAAGATTTCAAAAATTTAAATTATTAGAAATTTATTAAAGTATTTTTTAACAGAATAGAGAAAGAGGTGAGCTATTCTAGGATTTTACCCTGCTTGTCTTTTGAGGTAGAACTTGAAGGTTTCATTTTTTTTTCAATTTTTGGCATGGCTACTTGAGTTTCTAAGCATATTTCTTATTTTGATAAAAAGTAAATATTCCCCCCCTCCAAAAAACAAATTCGCATTTAAATGCATCAAGTCTAGAAATTAAAATTATTAAAAAAATTTTAGTTCTCTGAGTTAGCAACTGGTTGTTCAGCTTAAAAGTCAGACTAACCAAGTAAGTTTTATATTGAGGAATATGTTTTAACTGTAATTATTCATATGTGAGTTTGGTTTTTAATTTTAAGGTTTTTCGTATTTTCAAAGTTACTATAATAGCACCGAAAAAAAGGTTTGAAATCACCTATAAACTAAAATTAGGTAATCAAGTTCCAAAGAAACAAAACGATTCTAACTGTGGATTTTTCTAATTCTTAATAAGAAAAACTTGGCGACAATTGCGCTTTTCATTATCAAAGAATGTTTATCACTAGCCACATAAAAGGGCTGGATAATTAGCCATAGGTAAAAGGGCCGGATAAATTAATTTGATTTCTTTTGACACCATAAAGAGTTGCGCGTTTTATTTTATAACCAACGTTGAACAGCTGACCCAAATTTAGGTTTAACACTACTAATGTTCAACTCCGTAGCCTTGTCATTTTTAACCCAATCCAGAAGACAAGGGAACTCCTGGATCAAGTATTAGGAGAAATTTACCTTCGTGGAGGACTTTTCGATGCAACTAACCAGCATTTGCGTTACATAGAGAGGAAGACCACGAAAGCCTCCCATGGTTAGCCTGACAGCAAAGGGACTCTAATCAATGATCCGTCTGCATCTGAGGATATTTTACATCAGCTCTGTGGTTGGTGCGAGCCGGGTGCGGAATTCGTATCGACCAGCCTTCGCTGGGATTAAAAACCGGTTCACTTCATTGGTAAGCGAATGTTCTATCCCCTGAGCCATTGCGGCTCAGAGTTGCTTAATTGTACAATTCCTGGCCAAGTCATTAGACGAACTAAGAGATTCTATGCAAAATATTAGTTATCAGGTGATACTATACAGCTTTATTGTTTTTGCGCGGCTGATACCAGTTTGCGCTTGTTCACGTTCGTATTTCAATGGGTTAACATTGTAATACAATACGTTAAAAAAAATTCAAATAGGAAGTATATAAAAAATCTCCTGAATAAAAACCCATCTCATGTATGTTTTAATATAAAAGTATGTAATTATTAAAACTCTACCGTGTGTCTAGTAATTTGATCTAATCATTATAATATACTAATATAATACCTGATAAAATAAATATTCTATGTTTATATAATATATCGTCTAATTTATCCAATCGTTGAATTTATATTATACATCGTCTAAATTAACCCATTGATACACGAACGTAAACCAGTGCAAACCGGTTTCAGTCGCGTAAAAACAATAAAGCTGTATAATATCACCTGATAATTAGGATTTTACATAGAAACATATAGTGCGTCGAATATAAAGCTGTATAATATCAGCAATAAAGCTGTATAATATCACCTGATAATTAGGATTTTACATAGAATCTTATAGTTCGTCGAATAATTAGTCCAGGAACTGTACATTTAATACACAAGATCCGTTTTCTTAATGGATGAATATTCCCATTACAATGTCATTATAAGTTTGCAGGTAACAGCGCGATACACATTTAGTGAACTTATTCCAGCAAAAAACTACTCAACTCTCCATCACGTTTTAAACGGAATTCTGCGTTCTATACTTTTTAGAACTGACATAGTGAAGTGCTTTCATTAGTTATAGCAAAAAAGTGGTTGTTGTTACCTGATATTGCAAATCCACTGAAACCTACTGCCAAAACCAGAGCAATAGTTGCAGTAAGAGCACTTCTTGTATAGGCTACGACTATCATGAAAGTTGCCTCTAATCCAAAACCTATTGAAACAAACAATAGTTATTGCAAAATATTCTGATAATTGTTTCACAATACAAGGCCTTATCATGAAGTATGTTTAAAGAATAAAATAACGTATTTTTAAGGACATTAATGCCAATTCAAAAATGCTATAAATATATTTTTAGTAGACTTGTTGAAAACGATTCTTGTCTGACTGAAAGGAAAACCTATGGACTTTTGATGGTGATAGAAGTTTATTTCAAAAGTGTTGCACCCTACGTTTTTCGTATTCGGTCAGACAAAGATTTTCTTTATCTTTTACATCTACTTCAAAAAACGTAGTCCTTGAAATTTTATTATCGTCCCTGTAAATTATAATTTTTCGTGTAAAAGCAAAATATGTTTTGGCTGTGAACTTATAAGGTTCCTAAAAATGACTGACGTTTTGAAAATTCAAACAAAGAAAAATATGAGCTGATTTCTGCTGAGGAAATCTATTTATTCCCACCTAGTTTCACAATTAGTTACAACTAGCTCCAACAGATGACGCTTCGGACTGGACAACAATATTCAATCTGAATATAACTTCTAAAATTGAACTTCAATTTTTATACGTTATAAAAAATAGTGTATACATGAACCCAGTTCCAGAACTGTTAGCCAAGCCATATAAAATGTCTTTTTAATATCTAATTATTTTCAACATTCTGATATTACCAGGAAAGAGACTTTTATTCGGGACTGTGAAGTCTTAGTGTGGAATTTCCTCATCTCCTATTCCACTTAGTTAATAATTATAAGAAGAAACTGTACTGTTACCTCTAAAAATGTTTTTGAGCTTATGAAAATTAGTGAGACAAATAGCTATTTTGTGAACAAAAATATTATATTGTGGCAATCACAAATTAAATTTATAACATTAAAACGCATTTGAGCACAAGTTTTATCGAACTATTGAAAAATTCTAAAACAAAGCTAGATTATTTGAAAAGTTAATTAAAAAGATATACAAATGAATTCTATGTGTCACAGAATCTCTTTGTGATAACATGTGTTTATAAGTGATGGCCAACTCTTTTACGCATATTGGTGTTGTAAAACTTCAACATTTTGTTTTCAAAGTTTGTTTCTTCAACTGTTACCTATGTTAGAATGTAATTTTAGGTAAAATGTACTTTTACTATAGGTTACTGTATATATATATATATATATATATATATAACGTCGTTGCCGAGTGGANGGTAATAGTTAAGGATGTGTGTGTAAGTGTATATATATATACACACACACACACATATATATATATATATATATATAACCGTTAAAATGAGGAAATTGGAAGTCAATATTCTGTATTACAACATGGCCCTATATCTCCTCTTAATATTGACCCATAATATTCAAACTGAACCACGTATTATATAACCGGGGGTACTAGTGTACCCTGTAATCATGCAGATTGAAATATGCTAATGTACCCTGTAATCATGTGCATGCTAATGTTATCATGCATATTGAAATATAGATTTTCTTAGTAATTAATATTTACCGAAAAAAAGTTTTATAGTTGGAGTTGAGCTATACTTCCTAGAAGAAAGAAGACTTCTTTAGTAGTCCGAAAGTAATGACCATTTTCCCCCACTGCGCAGATTAGTTGTCCGAACGTAGTGACATCCTTCTTACCTCCACCTTGCTGTTTATGTTCGTCGGACTACTAAATTGATCCTTCTCTCTTCTTTGAGGTGTTGCTCGACAAAAAGACTGCAACTAGCGCACCGTCGTTGAACAGCCGACCCAATTTTTGGGTATACGACTACTAATGTTCAACTACGTAGCCTTGTAATTTTGAACCCAATCCAAAAGACAAGGGAACTCCTGGATCAGGTATTTTGAGAAATTTGCCTTTGTGGAGGATTTTTTGATGGAACTACACATTTGCGTTACATGGAGAGGTAGACCACGAGTACCTCCTACTGTTAGCCTACCGGCAAAGGGACTCTAACCCATGCTCCGTCTACCACTGAGGATATTTCACGTCAGCACTGTGGTCGGTGCAAACCGGATTCGCATCGTCCAGTCATCGCTGGGATTCGAACCCGGTTCTCCTGATTGGAAGGCGAACGCTCTGTCCCCTGAGCCATGACGGCCCAACCACCCTGCTATGAAATACAAAGAGAATAGAGAAACACTTACCACCACAATTAAAAATTTTTCTAACGGCTGTTGTTGTCAAGATTTCTCTTCTTCGCAGTGTGTCCGCTAGATGACCACCTACTGGAACTATCATGGTCATCACGAGATGGGGTAGAGCTCCCAACACACCTGACTGTCACAATAGAACACATTTTTTTTATTTATTAACAATAAGTTATTTTTAAGAAGAGTAAGGAAACAAAATATTAGCCTTAAGAAATTTTGATCAGATTTTCACGATGTCGGTCCGATTTCAAATATGCTAATTAATTATAGAGCTAACCACGAATTAAGAGAGTGTGTAGAGTTTTTAAAAAGTGCTTAAAGGTGTTTATTTTATATTTTCGTTTTTAAAAGGCCTTAAAGGTACTTTTTTCATGGGGTGTTATTAAAGTGCTTAATTTTCCTTTTTTAAAAATGAGATATTTTTGTTCTTTTCCATGTCGATTTTCGCCACGTATTATGGAAAAGCGTACTTTTCCAATTGTTCTATTTAACGCTTTCACAATTCCTTCAACCACAATCTATTTCGGCCCACCGTCGGTCCATAGCATATAAAAGCACCAAACATTTTAAGTGTGTGATGAAATACTTGCGAGTCCACAAGTGCGTCGACAGAGCTGGGTTCGGTAAGAATATTGCACTCTCATGCGCAACTCTGCTGCATTTTGCAAGATATTCTCAATTTCAGGCTTCATTTTCCACCCTCTGATATCGAACCGAAAAATCTCTCGATCATTTTATAATGGCTAATACAATCAAGAAAAGAGTTATTTGTCAGAAACTAGTTACTTAATCATGATCATCTAAAGTCTTTTGCATTTGTTAATGTATATGGTGCTTAAATTTTTTTTTGAGTGCTTAAAAAGTGGTTATTTTTTGTTGAAAAATCTGGCTACACACCCTGATTAAGTTATAGAATTAGAATAAAATATAAGGGAGGAGTAGCTATAGATCTAAAAATTATAGTTCTAAATAGTTAAGTCAAAGGTTTGAGAACTTAAATATTAATTTCACCTTTTGGAGTATTTCGTTACATCTCCTGAACTTTTCGAATGAGTCGATATTTTTTTCACACAATTATAAAACTGAATACAAAAAAATAATTTTATTGCTACACATAAATTCTCTTAAAAATTTAAGGTTTCGTAACGATATTCTGGCGCCCTCATCACTGAAGATTTTTTTTTAATCTCCGGAAATCTATCTCATCTAATATATATAATTCTCTTACGTGGCTCCCAAATTTTGGCTGTATTTCTTTTCCGTCAGTGGCAACGTTTGCTTTGTTTTGTTTACGTTACTATTTCTCTTACACGGCGAATCGACCAATGATTGCCGCTAAAAATGTCACATGCCAAATCTAGCTGAGGTGGCTCAACATATAGCGCTTTCAAAAACGGAAACTGAAATAACCAGAGAGCATCAGCTGCGGCAATCTCATACTATTAAGCTAGGCAAAAGTGAGTAGTCTTTGTCGATAGATCTCTATTTTAGTATTTTGTCGAAAGCGCTATTTTTCACGAATTTATATATTACGAATTTATTTGACGATTTTTGATTTATATCACGAATTATACTATAGCGCATTTCTAATAGGTTTAACGAATTACATGTCATTTATAGTTAAATAAATTTCAATCTCGTTTTGGACAAGTTCTAATCTAAATAATGTATAAGTAAATAGTTTATGATTTTGGAGTACATGCATCAAGTGGCAGTTGCTCCGAAATACAGTCAGACCTCTATTTAACGAAGTCGCTAAATCCTGATAATAAGTTCGTTATATGGAACATTCGTTAAATAGAAAATTAGTTTTTGAAATAATTAACACAAAACAGGTTTTAAATTCATAAACACTAGACATAATTAAAATAGCAATTGCAAACACTTTTATCATGTATCTATTATTTATTTTATAAATCTTAACGATAAGAGAATGGAGCAAAGCATTATCCATTATATGCTACATATATTTTCAACTAAAAAAAGCTAAATTTATGCATAAAATTATAACTGCATTCATTATAAAAATAATTTTAAACATATATTACCACATGCATTCATAAGTTTAATGACTACTGATAAAATATGTTCATTTTGTCAGAGTTTTTTGCTTGAAATGCAAACAAAGAATAAGGAAAGGGATTTTACTGCTTTTCTAAAAGTTAAATGGCTACGAAAAAAAATCCAAGGTCATTTCAACCCATCAAATGGGTTAACAAGCTTAAAATGTTTTGAAATAGTTTGGGAAATACTGAAAGTGAATCTCAAAGAAAAGTTCGTTCAATAGAAAATTCACTTCGCTATTTGGAAGTTATTTTACGAAGAAATTTCCAAAAAGTTCTTGGTACCTCGAAAAAAAAAATCGCAAAATAGAGAAATTCGCAAAATGGAAGTTCGTTAAATAGAAATCCGACTGTAGTTACAGTGTTCTTTTAAGTACTAGTCTACATTATTAATTTCTAACCCTGTTTTTTTTTCATTACTAACCCATAAAATCTCAGTTTACATTATTTAAATTATTTACTCTTTAGCTTTAGTCTGCATTATTAGTGAATTACCCTTGTTCTGAAGTCTCGGTCTACGTTATTAGTCTATAACCCTGTATTTTTTCATTATCAACGCCTTAAGTTTCTATAACATCTAAAAGTTTCTCGAACTTTTGAAGTAATACGACTCATTTACGTAATTAGTTCCATCTCCAGTTTCAGTCGACATTATTAGCCTCAATCCTTAAGTGTCGCCATCTTATGAGACAATTATAAACTGAAAAAAAAAAAAAGGATAATTTACCTGATCAATGTCGAAGTGGAAGACCTGCTTGAGATAAGTCGGCTGGGATAATAGTAACATATAGAATGTCCAACTTCGGCAGAAATTGGCGACAACGATTGCATAGACTGGCATGGAAGTAAATATACTTTTCCAAGGAGTTGTTCTTAACTGGAAGTTAAAAAAACAATATCATGAGGAAATGCAACAGATATCAAGTAATTTGCTGAAATTTTTGTTTGAATACCTTACTCGTCGGTAGTAAACTGACCAAATTTCTAATCTGACTGGGAGATAATAAAAATTTTAATTAAAATAGCGTCGTCAGATAACAGTCCTGTAAGTGGGGTGAACCGAATTGTTACAAATCTTTGAGCGGTGAAGTTGGATTACCAATATTAAGAAGTATGTAAAATGTTTAAATTGACGCCTTCTTTTGCTTCAATCGACCACATGTTGTTAAAACTTGACTGAAAACGCTTAAGTATATGGAATCCTATGCATTTATTTTGCATATCGCTCATTTGGTGAAACAATGACGTAACAGTCCTAACCTAAATAGAGTAATTTGTTTCACCAAATTATGTACTATTAAGAGATATATACTATATAATAGTATATGAACGATATAGTATTATATAATATCATTTGGTGAAACAATGACGTAACTGCAATATCAACCTAAATAGAGTAATTATCAGTTACGTCATTGTTTCACCAAATGAGCGATGTATTTCTTATTTTATATAACCGCTGTTAAACTTCCGACCCAATTTTTTGGGCTTACGACTTATAATGTTCAACCTTGAAATGTTGTAAAGCTTTGTTATTTTGAACCCAATCCAGAGGACAAGGAAACTCCTGGATCAAGTATTGGAAGAAATTTGCATTCGAGGAGAACTTTTTCATGGAACTAACCCGCATTTGCGTTACATGGAGAGAAAAACCACGTAAACTTCTCATGGTTAGCCTGACGGCAAAGGGACTCTAACCCTTGATCCGTCTACCACCGAGGATATTTCACGTCAGCATTGTGGTCTGTGCAAGCCTGATGCGGAATTCGCTGGGATTCGAACCTAATGATATCCCCCCCCCCCGAGAGTAACGATCTTATGAGGCGAAAGAAAAGAGCATTCCCGCCCCCCGAATAAATAGTAGCAAAAAATAAAAAAAACAGTAGAAAAGGTAATTTTACTTTTACCCATTACTAAGAAGTGAAATAAATAGTATAAATATAATATTGAAATTACTGATTTTTATTCTAAACATTTAGTTGATAAACTTGCAGTATCGCGAAAAAGCAGAAGATACCAGTTTTGTTCCCTTTACAAAATAATCCATTAATTGGGCAAATAATAATAAGTTACAGTTCTTTAACATACATTTTTGTTAAAAAAATTTAATTTATATATACTTTGATCAATACATATTTTTTAATATACTTTCGGTCCATCCTAATAACCAGTTAGTTGACATTCAGAAATCTGCATTTGCAAAGTGAAAGAAATGGTTGGATCGGAGCCCAGATGGCAAAATAAGGTTCATCTTCACTCAACAAAAACCTCTGAATGTAAACCTAAAAAAGGTTGTAATACGGTTTACGTGTAAACCTTGTAACTTTAAAACGAAATCTGCGACAATCTGCTCTATTCTACACACATTACCCTCATCTAAAATATTGGAAAAGAACATTCTATATAAAAACCTTAAATCGAGGTTGACTTAAGGTTTTCAAGCGTGAAAAAAATCCTCGAATAAAGCTAGTCTCAAGGTGAAAATAATCTTAAATCTAGGTAATCATAAGGTTTCTTTTCGCAAAATCTTGCATGCTCAGCTAAAATCCACTTCGTCATGAAATTTTAATGGACAATGCAATTTGATCCTATCACTAGTGTGACGTCAGTTAAAACATCATGATGGGCTTAATTGACAGTACTTTTTAAAAAATAATTTTTAATCCTTTTAGGATGAAAGGCTTGAAACCACAATATTTTTACTTTATTGAAAAGAGGTTCTTAGCACAAACATTTTCGTGACTATAAAAATTTAATTCCGTCACAAAGTTATATGTTTTCTGTGAATAGTACTTACCGTAGGAAGGGTGCTGGAAACTTTTCCTATGCTGTTCTCGATGTAAATAAGCTCTGCTTGAGTGATGGTCGGGTGTGTAGAGGGTCTCTCAAAGGACAGCCACATCCAGAATACGTACCAGATTATCCCAAAAGCGCCTTACGGAATAAATAATTAAAATTTGACACTCAAGTAAAAAAATAATATCAACAAATTGTACTTGAACATTAATACTATTATAAATAAAACTAACCAATATATCTGCAACTAAAACCTAGACCTGCTTTCCTGGGCAATTTTCAATAGTTACCTTTTTTTTTGTAGGATTTTTCACTGTTTGCAAATACCACAACGACTTAGCATGTGTCTTCGAAGCTACTATTTACTTATGTATACACTGTTAAAAATTCCGTGCCACGCTGCACCAAAAATTGGTATTCAATTGCTGGCTACATAAAAATGGAGCTCAATTTTACCATATTTTGATATTTTCTCTAGCTACAAATATCGGTAGGAGGTTGCACTAAAAGCAGATGTTTTGAAGAAACAAAACACCTGCTATCATTCTTTCTTTTATAAAAAGCAGAAGATGGTTACACCATTATTAGGTATTTTTTAAAACGCACAAATGCAGGCCAAGGTTGCTATATACCCTAACAAACCTATTTGCCTTAAGTATGTTATTTTGTGACATACCTCTAACCGTTTTATACCACCAACCGAACTTAAAAAGGCAACATAAAAGAAATGAACTTTAATGAATGCAAATAAAACTATTTAAATAAGTTGGTGCTTGAAACAACCTGCATTAGTCTTCCCGAGACCGAGTTGTATTGCAAACATGGCGTCGTAAACAAATATCGTTCAATTTACAGTCACCGTCAAAATTTTGTGTCTTTTACCAAATTTTGGTGCCATTAGTTGCAACAGGAAGTATTTCTCGGTCATACTTCACAATTTATGGTGTAGCTAAAATAAAATGATCTTTCATTTAGCTAAACTTTGGGATAGTGAGAAACTTTGCACCAAATACTGGTTCAAGATTTACCGAGTTTTTTTTTTTTACAGTGAGATCCTTTTTGATCTTGTGCTGTTAAAATGGCCGACAGTTCGGACAATTCATCTAAGAAAAAGAAAAGAAGTTGAAACGTACGCTTAAAATGTTATGCTTAAAAAAAATAAGAATTTTATCTTCACCAAATTACGATATTAGTTACCAAGTTCGTCGGTGATGTTGACTGAAAAAAAAATTATAAAATAATGTTTCCAAAATAACTTCTCTTCACAGTGGAGTCGGAAAAGAAGACTGGCATACACTCAATCAAGCATTTCAGTTGGAAATATCAGACACGCAGCGGGAAAAATTGTTTTTCGTAGTTTTTTCCTGTCTACAGTGCCATCCATTGATAAAATTTGTAACTATTTTGTAAATTTGATTAAAAAAAACTTTTATTTCAAAATTCCTTCTAAACTGCTGTTTGTAGAAAATGCAACACCATGAAGGAATCATCAGTATCAAATGAAATTCGCAGCAAATGTCAATTATAGGATATTATGCAAATTAATAAAGTTTCAGAGCCATCGCGCGTGCGTGGCGCGCGCAGCGCCCTCTGAATTGATGCTGAAAGCGTATAAATAAAGTGCTGTAGCGGGACGTTGAAAATAGTCTATGATTATTTGTTAGTGGCAAACGTTTAGTGAGACCTGAGTATGCCTCCACGACGGAAGAATAAGAAATTCAAGCAACTTACGGAGTTTGAACGAGGGAGGATAATCGGCCTTCGAGAAGGAGGATTTTCCTATCGCGCAATAGCAGCTCGTATGCAGCGGAACAGTTCCACAGTGATGCGAGTTTGGAAGCAGTGGACCGACGAGCACCGAACAACTCGAAAAACAGGCACTGGACGACAGAAGGTGACGTCAGAGCGCGATGATCGACACCTGCTCCGCATGGCGGTGAATGATCGCACAGCTTCCTCCAGGCAGCTGGCAGCACATTGGTCTACTGCTACAGGTGTACAATTGTCGGCTTCGTCAATTCGTCGTCGTCTGCTGCGCCGTGGATTGCGTGCAAGGGTGCCATTATACAGGATTCCCCTCACGGCGGATCATCGACGGCTGCGTCGGCAGTGGGCTCTTGAGCACAGAGACTGGCGAGCTGATTGGCACCAAGTTGTCTTTTCAGATGAATCACGCTTCAATTTGTGGACCCATGATGGCCGTGTTCGTGTTAGACGTTATGCCGGTCAACGCTGCCTTCCTGAGTGTATTATTGAACGACATAGTGGTCGAACACCCGGAGTTATGGTCTGGGGTGCGATTTCGTATCATGGACGATCCAATTTGATACGAATTGAGGGTAATCTCAATAGCAACAGATACGTCCGTGAAGTGCTACAGCCCGAAGTCGTTCCTTTCCTTCAAGGCATCCCTGGAGCTATCTTTCAGCAGGATAATGCACGCCCACATGTTGCGCGGACTGTTAGAGACTTCTGTTCAGCACAACGCATGCAACTTCTTCCTTGGCCTGCTTATTCGCCGGATATGTCGCCTATTGAGCACGTGTGGGATATGGTTGGTCGGCGTCTCACTCGTGATCCGCGTCCTGCAGTTTCCAAAGACGAACTTTGGTTGCGCATACAAGCGATATGGAATTCTCTTCCTCAAGCAGATATTCAACATCTGTTTGACTCCATGCCACGTCGTATAGCAGCACTTATTGCAGCGCGTGGTGGCTGCACCAAATACTGATTTCGGACGCTTAATTTGTTTCTTTTGTTTTGAAAATTTCATCATTTATTTGTATCAGTACAAGTCGTTTCTGCATTAAATTTCATTTGATTCTGATGATTCTTTCATGGTGTTGCATTTTCTACAAACAGCAGTTTATTAGTTCACACTCTCCCTATATATCTTGTTCAAATTTTCTATCGTTAATAAAATACTTTTTTATTCATCTCCACTCAAGTTCAAATACACTTGTAGTGGATGACACTCGATGTTAATACAGTTTTTTCAAATATTAATTCATCCGTTAAATAGGGATGAGCGAAAAACGAAATGGAATTTTCTGATGGGGTTAAACGTTAGTCATTGTTTTAAATTTTACTATAAGCGATTCAGTTTTTCACAAATTTTAAAAAACCCATCAGTGATAATTTCTAATTTATAGCCGTATTTGAACAAAAAAATAGTTTATTGCGCACATTTAAATATTTAATTATTTTATATTCGCTGTGTCAGATCAATTCAATAAAGAACATGAAGTGGTAGCACAAATATAAATTCATCAATTAAATTTAATTAATTAAATTTAATTAATTAATTTTAGTTTTATATGGGAAAAAATTGTCATTATTTAATAAAAAGTTAACTAAAAAAAAATTGTTTTTTTATGTCTTAAGTAGGAATTGACTTTTAAGTTCATATTTTTAATATTACTTGTTCTAACATTCAATTATTTAAAAAAAACATTACGTTATTGCTAATCAATAACTAGAGATATTACTTAAAAACAATTTTAAACTAAATATCAATGCATCGTTATAATCAGATATGACGAGAAAAAAAAACATTCGTTGATAAAAAGAATTCACCAAATAATTTTTATGGAACGACATTTCATAAAACAAAAAGCTCTTACCATAAAAGTAGAAACATGCTTGCCAGCCTATTAGTTCTGTTAAGAAACCTGACAAAGGCATTCCAACTACTGCACCGGCGTATGACCCTACATTTCAAATACAATAAAATCATCATTTGTATATGAAAATACATTAAAAGTCCTTTATAAACGACAGTTCTCAAAGGCAAATGGAATTGTCGTTCATTCAAGCTTGTCGTTAAAAACAAATACAAATATTTAATGTTAAAAGAGCTAAATAAAAAACTAAAATAAAGGTTGGTAGGTATTTTTTTTACGTCGCACTAGAACTGCACAATGGGCTATTGGCAGTGGTCTGGGAACCATCCCTGAGGATGATCCGAAGACAAGCCATCACAATTTTGATCCTCTGCAGAGAGGATGGCTCCTCCGCTTTGGTAACCCGACGACCTGCGCGTGAAGTCGAGCACTTTACGGTAGAACAGTTTAATGAGGACCAGTACCGTGCACCCTCGGTCCCTATGTAAGCTGATCAAAGTGGTCACCCACTCGCTTACTGATCGCAGCCAGTGATGCAGGTGTTACTGGGAATCGTGTCTTTACGATCAGTCCAATGCGGGACGATATCCTCTTGGATTTTGGAATACACAACTTTTGGAATACTTGGATTGTACAATAGCTTTTGACGTTATTGATAACACCGAATATTGATTTCAAAAGTAAACTGACCTGCGGTCACTAAGGAAAATAATGGCGACTATATGGTTAACAAAAAGGCGTATTATTTTGAAGTGTGCGGTAGGTCTCCATATCGCAATAGCGGAAGTCTTGTAATTTTAAACTCGCTATACAAGTTTTGTAATTTTTGTATTAGAATTTTGATGGTGATTTGGAAATGTGTCATAATACTGGACTTTTAATAACATGCCGAACTCGTTATATAGAACGTTTGTGTTTCGGTGGGGAACGCTGGAACATTCACCATACAGTCCAGATCTTTCACCGTGTGACTTTCATGTTTTTGGACCTCTAAAACAAGCTATTCGCGGACATCGATTCACAACGGATGACGAAGTGTGTGACTGGATCCAGGCCTGGATCCGACAGAAGCCTACTAGCTTCTTCAAAGGTGTCGCAATGGGATAAATGTGCCAACAGTTTTGGCTACTATTTTTGAGTATGTGTACTGTGGATAACTGCATTTGTGAGTTAATAAAATCGTTACCGTTACATTACACTAGTGACCAGGTTTCATTTGAATGCCCCTCATATATCCAAAACCAACTGGTCTTATACTATTAGGAAATGCTATTCAAATGTCATAAATAACATATTAACGCCTCGTGGAACATATACCACGAATCAGGGCATAGAGGTCATCAATCGAAATTGAAGGGGGGGGGGGTGATAATAAAGTTGACACTCAATCTATATTTCTATTCAAACAACATTTTATTCCATTTTTTTTTAGTTTCTTAATTTTCTTTCACTATAAGTTACATTTTGAGAAGAAAATTTTGTGTGGAGACTACTTAAAATTTCACAATTTATCTGCTCTACCTCTTAACAGGATTAAAAAGAAAATTGATTCAGTTATCTATAATTGGAAGGTAAAGAAGGTTTACCGCAAAACGCCAGAGTGGCTAACCGACTCCTCTCCATTGGTGGAGCCCAGTGTCTCCAGATGCCATGACAAGCAGGATATGTTACTCCCTGAAACAAACACACATTATATATATATATATATATATATACACATACNTAAATACCAAAAGGTCAAAAAAAAAAATTAAGAACGTACCTTGCGCACATCCATTTTCTGGCCCATCCTTGGTAACTAACAAATCACACGCACTTCAGTGCTGCAGTAAGAACACACTATAAACAAAAGCCCTCTATTTACGCTTTTACCTCAATTTGCGTTTTTTATTTGCCTATTTAGTAATCTGGCAATCTTGTTGCGAAAATATTTTAAATCATTCTTGAAAAATTTCCTATTCATGTAAGTTCATTTTAATTCGCTACTTCGCTTTATTTTCTGTTCTTACGTGATATTTTTATTTGATGCCCTATAATTTATTTGTCGTAAATTTTTTGTAAATTTTTTTGAGTGCTCTTCACACTAATGTATCGATATATTTTGCTTTGGCTATATTGATACAATATTAGAATGCACTCCTTTTTGCGGATATAATCGTGTGAGCTGATGGAAAGATTATATCTTTTTTTTCCGGATTTTTATTAATTTTTTTCTTTCCGGATTTTTATTATTATTATTTTTCTTTTTCCCATTTCTTCATTATTCTGTAATTTTTTCCATGGTTTTCTCTACATTTTGAACTTATATATATATAGCACAATAAATAAGCTACAAGTATATAGAACTCATAAAATAAGCTCAAAATGCAGAGAAAACATGGAAAAAAATTTGCAGAATAATGGAAAAAAAGAAGAAGAAAATTATTCAAAAAAATAAATAAATAATAAAAATCCGGAAAAAAGATATAATCTCTTCAACAGCTCAAGCGATTATATCCGGTAAAAGGAGTGCTTTCTAATATTGTATCAATATAGCCGAAGCAAAATATATCAATACAATAGTGTGAGGAGCACTCACAATTTTTTTTTAAAACAAAATATAATAGAACACATTAAGTAATGAATATTACTAAAGAAACAGAAAATAAAATGTAAAGGGAAAAACAAAACATAGCATAAAACGAAATCTCTAAAGTGAGAAGCGAATTCAAATGAACTTACATGAACGAGAAAATATTCAAGAATGATTTAAAATATTTTCGTAATGAGATTCCCAGATTTCAAAATATGAAAACAGAAGCGCAAATTGAGGTAAAACCGCAAATAGAGGGATTTTATATTATAGCGCGTTCTTACTGAAATACGTTTGATTTGTTAGTTACCAAGGATGGGCCTGAAAATGGATGTGAACAATGTAATATTATACTGGATAATTTAAAGAAGCTAATAATTAATAAGGTTGATATTTAATTATACAATTTTAATGATTTCAGAAATCTACTTTTATTTAAGAAAAAGAGAGAGAAACATGAATTACCTGTTTTGCACACATTTTATGCCACGGATTTGCACGTGGTAAAAATTATATAAATTAACAAAAAAGTGTTTAGTGAGTTTATTTGCAATAACATATAATTAACTCAATAATTTTCAATAGAATTTAATTACTTTAGTTGGTATCCATTGTTTTTTTTTATCAAATTTTGAAAGAGTTTGTCGATTTGATTTTTAGATAAATAAACAATCTCTTTAAAACTGATTTCAAAATCTCAGCAACAAAGGGAGATAAATGAATGAAACCAACGGTAAGTTATGAAAGCTGTAAAAATTCTATTCAGAAATTTTTGAATTTAGTTACAAAAGTTGCCACTAGATAGCGCAGCGAGTCACCAATGACCAGAGTGAACTGTTCTAGCATTAAAACGTAAAGGAGGTTTTTCAAACCACGTATTCTATTAATCAGTAACGTGTTTTTCTGGTATTGGAATATAGCAGGTTAGATTATAGTCCTACGGCAGTTGTTTTCTTTTCGAGAGCTCTGTACAGCGCCATTTACTGTAACTAAATTCCAAAATTTCTGTAGAAAAATTTTATAGCCTTCACAATAGACATACCGTTTGTTTCTATTTCTCTATCTCCCTTTGTTGCCGAGATTGTTATCTTTGAAATCAATTAGTCCTTTCTCGACACCCTGCATTTACAGCCCTCAAAGTCATTTTATGTGTAAACCTTTGCAATACGGCAATCTTGTTTTTGTTCAAGCTCAAAAGGATAAGTAGTACTTAGTAGTACTTCAAGAAGAAGAAGAAGACAAAATACCCATGTGACCTATGACATCTGCGCCAGCTGTTCTTTTGTAAGTAAAATGTCGCGTTGAACTTGAGCTAAGCTTTCCACATAGGTTAAAATCTTAATTAAAGTTAATTAAATACATGACCGCATCGCACATTGCATTTGTTGAAATATAATTCTTTCTCGTCTAACGTCTTTCCTTTAACTTATATTTATTATTTGTTTATGTATTTTATTGTAATCATTATATATTTTTATTTTGCGTATCTGGCAACTTCGATACATAATTAGTTTGCTTATGTTCTATATTGCTTCATGCCTGTCTTTGTGTTGAGTAGAAATATAAAGTGAAAGAATTGAAATCTTTGTGAAAGAATATAGAATGTGTCACTTAAGAGAATTGATACTTGACGGGTTTGTCTTATTTGAAATAGAATGGAAAGAATAGTTGCAAGTAAACAAATGCCACGTTTCAACAACCAATCAGAATCGAGATTAGCTTTTTCTCTTGCGTTAAATTAATTTTACTAACATGTTAGTAGCCAAATACGGACAATCATTATTCTTTTACAAAAATACGGAAAAAATATATTAAGAACGATCATCAAACATGTAAAACAACATTCTATGCAAAACTAGATAAATTAAAAGAAATGCTAAATAAGGAGGAACTAGTTTATTATTTATAATTACTGCCTGAGTATATATGATGATCAGCCCTTTAATATATATATTTAATATATATATCTTTTCTAAAAAGTTATATTCATTACAAGTTTCATGAAACAAAAAAGTTTGCAAAGTTTGACGAAATACTAGTGAGTAAAAGAGAGTGACAAACATCAAGACCAGTTTGAATGCATGATGAAACATTGGTTTACTTCTCGAATTCTCTCTGTTTTTTTTTCCGTCGGTCAAATAGGTTTTGATATTTTAGTCTTGAAATCTTCACCATTGATTCGTTAAATTACAATTTGCTTGAGTATTAATTTGAAACACCTAATATGTTACTATTTTGATTTTATTTTATCAACCGTCGTTGATCGGCCGACCCAATTTTTAACGTTTACGACTGCTAATGTTCAACTCAGTAGCCTTGTAATTCTGAACCCAATCCAGAAGACAAGGGAACTTCTGGATCTGGTTGAAATTGGCCTCGGTGGAGGACTTTTTAATAGAACTAACCCGCATTTCGGTTACACGGTGAGGAAAACCTCCCACGGTTAGCCTGACGGCAAGGAGACTTTAACCCCCATGATTCGTCTACCACTGAGGATATTTTACGTCAGCACTGTGGTCGGTGCAAGTTGGATGTGGAATTCGAATCGACCAGTAATCGCTGGGATTCGGACCCGGTTCACATCATTAGAAGGTGAACTCTCTATCTCCTGAGCCCTCACGGCTCTTTGACAAGGACTTTTTTTTAAATTTCATATTTTTTTTATTATCGTCGTTGAACAGCCGACCCAAAGAGTTTATGACCACCAATGTTCTACGGCGTAGCCTTGTAATTTTTGAGCCCAATCCAGAAGACAAGATAATTCCTGGATCGGTACCCCCAGAGGTATTGATTTGTTATGGGAACATGGAGGACTTGGCGACTCGACAGATTTAACGCGCGACAGTCACCATTTACTACACGGAGAGTTTTCGGCCTGCGAGGATCGAACCCACAACTTCCTGGACATGGGCCCAGTGCCCTACCAACCAGGCTATCCCGGCCCCAGCCAACACCTCCTAGAAGTATGAAGGCCTCAGCACGGATCAATTTAGTAGTCCGATGTGACGAAGTTAACTGCGCAGTTGATGAAAAATAAGAAAGATGTCATTACGTTCGGGGTACTAAGCTGCGCAGTGGTTGAAAATACGACATATGTCATTACGTTTGGACTACTGAAGGATATTTATGGTAACCCGTGCAGAGGCCTACTCTTTTCTAGGAGGTGTTGCCCCAGCCCTCAAGGATTGTAGCAAATATTTGCATTAATACAGAACATTCTATATATGATCTGATTAGCTGTGATTTTTTTTGTTTATTTATTTATTTTTTTGCAGCATTGACTGAACAAAAAATCGTTTTTACTTCACAAATTATTTCAAGCTTTTGCGTAACAAAATAAATTCTTGGCACAGGCATATATATTAGAAATGAGCTCTAACTTTTACTTTACAACCACTTTTACAATATCAGCCATTCGAAACTAACGCCAACTCATTGCCTCACAAAAGATACACTATACGCCATATATTTCGCCAAAGAACAATGTTAAAGGACTTCATTCTCCTTTTCATCGTAAGGATGGGGGGGGGGAAGGGGGCATCGCCAAGGGAGGAACAATCTCGAAACTCCGGAAGTAAAGAAGTAATCATATACATAGAGGAAGGAAGTTCCATAGAGATTGTCTGATGACAAAGCTTTTATAGAGCGAGTCTAGACAATATAATGTAGTCTCTATTGTTCTTTATGGAAATCGAATAGCAACGGTTAAAAGTGATAGTGTTATAAATATTGACTTGGAATTCAGAATTTAATCTAAATAATTAAATGAGAACTTTGTTTCATACAGTCTCTGCCCAAATTATTAGACGCACTGTGAGATTCGATGCAAAATCTTAATTATCACGTGAGACTACACAGCCTTATTGTTTTTAAGCGGCTGGAACCGGTTTGCCTTTGTTTATGTTCGTGAATCAATTGGTTAATATTGTAATGCAATACGTTAAAAATAAATACAAATAAGAAGTATATGAAAAATCTCGATTTTAAATCCATTACAAGTTTGTTTAAATATAAAAGTACTGCTTATAAATTCGTGCAAACAGAATTAAAATGGCAAACAAGTGTTTCTTTGGACTAAGAAAGCAATTAAGATCAAGCCTAATCAGTCGAAAAACTAAAATTAAAATTTATAAGACTCTTATTCTAGCTGTATTGCTCTATGCAAGTGAAACATGGACACTAAACGCAGACACTCACTCAGCGTACTCTAGGTGTTTTCGAAAGGAAAATCCTGAGAAATATTTTTGGCCCAGAACAGGAAAGAGGCTGCTGGCGAATCATATACAACTTTGAATTATATAGACTCTATGGACAGCCACAGATAGTGCAGGTCATCCGAAGCAACAGAATAAGATGACTTGGCCATATTCGGAGAGGTCCAGAAAATAATGCAGTCCGAATCGCCACCTTTAAAAATCCTTCGGGCTAGACGAAGACCTTCTACTAGATCTCTGGATGACACTGCTAAAGATCTAAAAGTATTTAAGATAAACAACTGGAGAAAAGTCGCCATGGACAGGAGGCGTTGGAGGTTACGTGTGGTTGAGGCAGCTAAGGCCTGTAAGGGGCTGTTGTGCTGAAGAAGAAGAAGAATATAATACCTAATATAATAAATATTCTATATTTATATAATATATCGTCCGATTTATCCAATCCTCGAATTTATATTATATATCGTCTGTTTTAACCAATTGATACAAGAACGTATAAATAAGTGCAAACCGGTTTCAGTCGCATAAAAACAATAAAGCTGTATAGTATCACCTAATAATTAAGATTTTACATAGATTCTTATAGTGTGTTCAATAATTTCGTCAGGGACTGTAGCTCGTTAGTTGAATCGTGCTTTTCGGTGCTCCTAAAAAAGGAATTTGGCGAAGGTCCTGATTTTTAAAGTAATAAGTATAAATTTTTGTTTAAATAAGATTAGTTTTTAATAATCAATTTGTTCGTTAAAATTTTGAAGCTTCTAAAAAAAGGAAAGATGTTTGGAACTCTCATTAAAAAAAGAGGAAAAAAATTAGATTTTGTGAACCGATTTTAATTAAAAAGTTTTAGTTCATCGAACAATGAAATATATATAATTTCACCCTTTTTTTAGAGAATTACCTTTAAAAAAAGGATAAAAGTATATCTATTTTGCTAACCGATTTAAAAATTTTAAGTTCTGAAGTTTCTTAAAGAAAAGGAATGTATGTAAAAAAAGAGCTGAATTTTTTTTATTTTATTGAAACATTTTCATTTAAAATTTAAAATTTTCTTAAAAATGGAATATCTTTAGTGTACTATTTCTAAAAAAACGCAGAAAAATTTATTTTCTCTTTTATTAACCAAAGAAGAATTTTATTTTATTTTATAGAGAGTTAGAGAGAAACATAAGTAGAGATAAGTAGAAGATAAGAGAATAGGAGAGAGAAGATGAGTAGAGACGAAATTTTTTTAATCGTGTAAGTAATAAGGAAAACATATAACGGAAAACATATTTTAACGGAAAACATATTTTAAAAAATCCTTATTTTGCTTGAAATATTTCCTAATGCAATTATTATTTTAATTTTTTTTTTTGCCTTGTTGCATACGAAAACCCTCTAATTTTTTTTTTTGAAATATTTCTGCGCTATCTATTATTATAAAAATAATGATAAAAAAAACAGCATTAAATCACTATTTTTTAAATATCGTACAAATTCAATTTTCGCCTGCTTGTACGATGCAAATTACCATGCTTAGCAAAAGCTGAAAAACTAGCTTTTGCTTCTTTTCAAGTGCAGTGCCTTTGTATTTAACTTTCTTAATTTTCTTCTTAACTAAAAAAGATTTCAAGCTAAGAAAAAATGGACTCTTTTAATTTTTTCTTCTTAGTTCAAAAGTTAGCTGAATTATAATAGCATTAAAAAAAAACTATAAAACTCGTTTATCCCAAGATAATTCAATGCAAAATATAACTTTTTGTACATATTTATTGTTTTATTTAATAATAGACGAAAAAATTTTAAATTGTAAGGTACAAAATGTTTTACATAATCTTAAAGGATAAAATTTTAATGACAAAATACAAAATTTGAGCGAAATCAGTTGAATAATTCCTGAGAAATCGAATTTTAAAAATAAGGCTTCTTTCAAATTCAGGAACAATTCGACCGATTTTGTTCAAATTTTGTAGATTTAACTTTTTAAGCAAAAAAGAGGATTTTAAGATAAGAAGGAAAAAAATGGACACTTTCATTTTTTATTCTTAGTTCAAAAGTTAGATGAATTAATAGCATTAAAAAAAAAAGACTTAAGAGTTGCGATGAATTTTGTTATCTTCCGTTACCATAGCAACTTAGATGATCACTTACTTCAGAACGTGTACCCGGAAGCTTAGGTTCCTGTAGTAAGTGGGCGAAAACACCAGATAGGCGTAAATTTCGTCGGCCAACGAATCAGGAACAGTCTTACATATTTCACGAAATTCTTTTATTGTCAATCAATGTGATTAGGTAGAAATATGTGTTTTATAGCCTATTCTCTCAATTTGAATGAAACTGGTGGAATAATTTTATAAAGAAATAAACTTCAAGATTTTGGCATCATTTTTCTAATTGTCTGCTTTTGACTTAAAATTTTTTTTTAAAAAAAAGTTGTGATCGCCTTATTACTATCACTGGATACCCATTGGTCAATTGCTTTTTCTTTCTGGATGGACTCCGTTAAACGTCACATTTCAAATCACGGGTTGCAAAATCTATCTCTATTGATGTTTGTCGTCGGATTGGACTGCCTATGTACGTGTTTCAAGACGTCACAAAATACTTTTCCTTCTACAGCATTCATATTTATATTGAAATCCCCGTCGAGCCAGTCATTATAAGTCAATAATAAAAAGAATGTAAAAATACTTTAAATTATTATTATGTAAATACATTGAAAATGCCTGCTAGAGAAAAGAAAAAGAAAAACAGCAGCGGTCGCCTTAGCAACGCTTGCAATGACGACGCATGCGCACTGTTTACTATTTCTATTGAATACAGTTGAAAAGTGTGAGGACGCAATCAAATCAAATCCAAACCAAGATTTTTGGATTTTGCGAATGGCTAAAAACATTGACTTCATCTGACTGAAATATCAATTGGGTATTTGCACTTCGGGAAGAAGAAGACCAAATATATCCATACATGTGACCTATGACGTCACCGTTTGCTGATCGTCAATTAAAAAAAAATGGCGTGTCAAAGTTGAGCTCAATTTTTCCACACGAGTTAAAATGTTAATTAAAGTGAACTTTATTAAATACAGGGTCACTTACAGGCATCCCATTTAATGGTTATATTTTACGAGAACATTTTATGTGAAGATTAACTTCACGTAAATTACGTACACTATTTCACTTCCGATGGTCCAACGATTGCCTTAATATAGGTCTCAATTCAAATACTATTGTCTTAGTCATATAAATAATAATATGCTCTTAATTGGGCAATCACAGCGCGAGAAGAAGTGAAGTGATCAAGCTAAACCACGTGATTTATATTAGATTTAATTGGATGCCTGATCTGCCATTAGGTATCTGCTATTTTTTATTATTAATTAATTTTTTTGCGGGTCTAGGCACCTGTTATCATTACAGATTTAGGCATCAATTAATGTTCAAAGTTTCGGCACTAGTTATTTTTACAAGTTCACATAAATAAATCATCATTGGTAATAGTATGGTAAAGTAATGAAATCAATATAATGATAATTATTATGAAATAACACGAGATTAAATATGAATAATGAGAAGAAAAAAAACTTACCTCGACCAATCCTTGAAGTACTCTAACTACTATAACTAATCCAGGACCAACTCTTGCTGCTCCCGGCAACAACATGTTCAAACACGATGAAACAGCAATGGCTGTGCCGAATACCCTGCAACAAAAAAGAAAATGTCTCAGGAAAAAAAAACATCCCGATATTATTATTGTTTTATAAAATGGCGGGCATTTGAGCCTATTTTCCATTGACCTCAGAAATGCCAGAATTGCTATTCTCTTATTTTTATCCAGTAAACACCTGTGGAATAGCGTCGCTCACGCTATACAACCACAAACCCGTTTATAGGGTGGGTCACATTCACACAATAACACAGAAGGGCCGGGATAGCCTGGTTGATAGGGCACTGGGCCCATGTCCAAGAGTTCGTGGGTTCGATCCCCCGCCGGCCGAAGACTCCCTGTGTAGTAAAGGGTGACTGATGCACGTTAAATTTGTCTAGTCGCAAAGTCCTAAATGTTCCTATTACAAATCAGTACCCCTGGGGGTACTAATCCAGGTGTTTCCGTGTCTTCTGGATTGGGTTCAAAATGACAAGACTACGGAGTTGAACATTAGTAGTCTTGAACCCAAAATTGGGTCGGCTGTTCAACAACAGATATAAAATAACACAGAAGAAAAGACACAGAGAACACACAGAACATCCATGGCTATGGTGGGATTCAAACCAACAACCACTGGCCTCGTAGTCCAGCGCAGTGACCACTAGACCAGTGATAGGCACACCTCAATATTAACAGTGAACGATTTGTAGCTTGGGATACCATTGAAAAAAAAAATTATTTGGTGATTGCGCAATTTAAAAATTCAAAGTTAAAAATAAAGAAAAAATTTTTTTTTGCTTTTTAAAAAAAGAACGGGAAGAACTTTTTGACGAAGCCGTCAATGCAATTAGGAAGGTGATTACGTTTTTGATTATAAAAGTGTGTTAAATGAAAAGTATTAATTGAAATATGACTATTGAAATATGAAAATGACTAAGAAATAAGACTTATGAAATTGAAAATATGATATGAAATTGAAATATGACTATGAAATATGATAATTGAAGTATGAATAGTTCAGTTTAATTACATTCATTGTTTTCTTTTGTTTTCTGAATTTTATGAGTGAAAATATAATAATATTTTCTGTAATTGGAGTATTTTTTTTTTAAATTTCTTTTTCTTCATTTTTTTAGTTATTCCATAAGAAAATGAAACTTTTCCATAAAAAATTCCTCTTTTTATTAATATTTTAAATATTTTAAATGTTTTTATTTCATAATTAAAAACGCATGCGCGAGACTTTGCATCAGAATCGCTATTTATGTACTAAAACTAAACTGAACTTAGTGCGCGACAGCCCATAGAGGGTCAAGGCCTACTGTGCTCATCTTAGTTTTCCTGACTTTGGGCTCTGGGATGCAAGAGAAGATGTCCCCCAGTGTTTAGTCCCCAAGGCATGCTTGGTACTCATTTTATCGACCCACTGAAGGGATGAAAGGCTAAGTCAACCTTGTCCGGCCCAAGGATCGAACCAAGAACCTGAGGTTATGAACTAATATTATATATTTTAAGTTTCATTACCCATATTTAACTTTTACAACTTAATGGCATATAGACGATAATATAAAAATATATTTCATTTACCTGAAGTTTATTAATTAATTATATTTGTAAAAATTATAAATAGTTTATTAATTTTAGAAATAATTTAATAATTATGGTAATAAATACTACTGGTTTCACGGTAATAGGTTCTGTGGTAATAGACACCAAAAATGCTAATGTAGGCACTGCATATTAGGTTTGATACATACTAATAGGCTTTTTAAGGTTTACGAAACTGGGAAGTGCAGGTTTTTCTTTAATTATAAGTGTCCATTGGTAATGATAATGTTTTTTATGCGTTAAAATTATCAAAGGTTAGACGCATTGCGGAAAAATGTAGCCTGGTTCATTTTGTCAATTACATAGAGCTGAAAATTTGAGACTAAAAAGGAAAATTGGTTTAATATCTGTTGCAACTGTTAAATCGAACCGAAGTTGAGTAAAAGTGCAAGAAAAGTTTAAGACTGGTACATTTAAATTTTATAACGATCCTAAAATTTCTAACAATGATTATTATCAAATTTATAATCTATCCGAGGTCTGTTCAGTGTAGCTTGATTCTTAAATAAATTTTTTATCGCAACGGCTATTTTAGTTAAGTTTGCTGATATAGAGAAATTTTGCCTCGAGTTAGTTGTTGTTGTTGTTGCTAATTCCCATCTGGTATGACTGGGTCAGACCAGATCAATAAATCTGTTGACATTAAGAAAGTCCGTAACCAGAATGGGATCAGAAACCTTTCTGCCTCGAGTTAGTCTTTCATGAACCGTAACGCTAACCTTATTTTCGAACCTTAACCTTATTATAAACCTTCACTTTACAATAGAACAGTAGGACCAATACCACACACCCTCGGTCCCTATGCAGACTAAGCCAAGTGGTCACCCACTCAATTCTATTGGAAATGTAAAACTGTGATCATTCGGCAGCTTCAATTATTAGAAATAATTATTTAAAGCGAACTGTAACTTTTCGTACTAATTTGGCTAAAATACCCAAATTTTTAAACAGGTACCAAAAATTTAAGGAGGAAGTTGTCGATGGTGACAGAACAAAATTATTGTTTAAAGTTTAACACAGAATAGGAAATTAAACCTGCTGTACTAATTATGTATTAACAGAATAAAACATTCTGTGACCTTTTAACTGGATGATTTTCAGTTTGAATGTCCTACGCAGGAAACCAAAAGCGATTACAGTTGTTGTCGTCGTAGGTCATTAAAACAAGTGGTGCGATTGTTTTTGTTTTCCAGTGGCGCCATCTATTGCCCAGAATTTGACTTCTCACACACCCATTCATACATCCATTCATTCATCCACAGATCGTAATTTTGACCTGAATCAGAAAACGATCCATCTCCAATTCAGTGCCCTCAGAGACATTGGTTTGTTTTGGGAACACGGAGGACATTGTGACCCGACAGATTTAACGTGCACCAGTCACCATTTACTACAAGGGGAATCTTCGGCTGTCTGGATTCGAACTCCCGTTCTCACGAACGAGAGTCCAGCTCACTGCCAACTGGGCTAGGATCGGTGAGTCAACCCTCTCCAATTAAGAGGAGATAATTTAAGTTAGACAGTACAAAGAGGATTAATTGAATGAACAAACCTGTTAGCTGGGTACATTGTAGCAAGGAATCCACCAGGAATTTGGGTGATCAGGTATCCCCAGAAGAATGATGAATCTATAACACCTAATGTACCGGCTGACCAGTTGAATTCTGGTTTCTAAAAGAAAGAGTGGAAATTCAAACAAATGCATTAACATGTGGCGTTAACTACCACTACGATTATTAAATATCAACTCACTACTATATGAGACATGCTAACTTGATTCCACCTAGAAGTACCTCTTAATAGTTGAAGGTTGGCATTGTCTAATGATCTAGCCCCCACATTGGTGACTAACGGACGTGATTACGACTACTTCGATTGATGGTCGCCATAGAACAGTTGACTTGCTATTTGTGACTGCCTCATGGTCCTCCTCGCGCTGTTGCTTCTCAGTCTCATTTATACACAACGGGTCCTACACACACTCTACTGCTAATAGCAACACAGGAATGACCACAAACACAACCATGAACTTAATACAGCTCTCATCGCTAAAGCTCAAAACTCGGTGACCATAATCCAGCTCTCCCGTTCTTTCACAAATACGGCAATTAAGTGGTATCCGTTCACCGAATAGATGAACGGAAGATAGATGACTTTTGATAGATGAAGTTTGGCATTGTCTAATGGACTTTCCCCACAAACATAACTAATAAATATTCTTTGTTTCTTACTATATATAAAATTCTAATGTCGCCGTTTTCTTTTGTTTTCGGTACATTTTTATTAGCAGGAAAATCACATGGTAGGATCTAGTTTTCCTACGTTAATTTTCATAACTGTTTGGTTGTCACCAGCATAAAATTGATATAAGTCGTAAAGGTATTGCATCCGTAATTTAAAGGTATTTACCTTCACTGTTGTTATTACGTTTTTGTTTTTGTTTGTTTTCTAAATTAAGAGTTTAAGAGGATTGTTTTTATTATTATTATTTTTAGATTAACGTAATTCTACGTTACATTTTAGGATAAAGTTATTCAAATCAGTGCCTGATCGTATTAACCGTTTAACAATTATTATTCGTAGGTGCAAAATACATTATATACTAATATGAATTGCGGTTAAAAAGATCCGTTAAATGATTTAGAACTTAACTTTCAACTTCATGCACAAAAATTGCATTTTAAATATACAATTTACGTTTTGTTTGGTAGGTACGTTTGTTACCTACCAAACGTTTGGTAATAACGTTTGGTAATAACGTTTGTTTGGTAAGAAAAAATATTAAATTATGTCCAAATTTGTTATAACAGTATACTACTTTTAATTTTAAATGTTATTTCAAAAACTTATTACTCAGAAAAATTATTTATGTTCACCAATAGATCCTAATAGTCTCATAAGGGAGGGAAATATTTTTAAGTGGAGGCACAAGTGTTCTTTTTTTTTAGTAGGTACATATATTTTTAGTTGAATAATTTCAACTGATTCAAGCCAAGAAACAGCAATTGCGAAGCAATCATTGGGGTTGGTGAGCGTCAGCAGACAGGTGGCTTAACCCCGTAGTTCAAAAATAAATGCGTTCAGTAGTATGATTGATAAATAAGCATATACACGATATTCTAACAGATTTTAAAACTTTTAGATTAAGAAAATGGTTAGGGTTCTTGTAACAAATTCATGTGATAGAGCATACATTTTTGTATTCCTAAGTTTCTGCTTTTAGTTCAAAAACTCTTTGGTAGATGGAGCTGCAAGTAAAAAATTTGTAATTTAAAGAAAAGCAATTAAAAATAACATCACTAGTTTTCAAAATCTTTCAATGAATGAAAACTTTAAGAAAGTTATTTAAGAAGTATCTGTTAGAAGCCTCAACCATATGTTTTAGTGGGCAGACAAAGAACTTGCAGAGACCGATAAAACTTGCAAAGCCATCTGTCGGGCTCTGCAAGAGCGAATCTCAGGGACTGTAGGAAGGATAATTTATGTCCATTTCTTATAAGTTTTCAGCAAAAATTGTTATTATAATATCATTTGTTATCCCGTTATAATTTCTAAAAAAATCAGTCTAATTTAGAACAAGCCGTAAGAATCCTCTACTATGATGATTACTATGACATGGATTGCTTAATGATTACTATGACTCAGTAATTAAAAATTCTATATATTACTACAGTCTTCAATGCAGTTACATATTTGATGAGCGTAGTAAAGAAGCATAATACATGAAAATATGTTCTTATAAACCTAAATAATGTAAACTAATGATTATTTAATAAATCAATAAACAAATAAAGTAAAAAAAAAAAGAAACATTTAGTGGGAAAAATTTCTGTATTTTGACTACCATAAAATGGCCACGATTAACAGCATAAATTGGTTTTAATTAATATTGATAAGTTGAACTCACACAAGCAAGTTTTGCTTAAACTAAAAACATAAAATTCCCAAGAAACGCAACAAATAATAATGGAAATAAAAATTTTAACTATGTCGGTTTATATGCTTTAGTTTTGAGCATGTTTATATATCGTTGATTAATGTAAACCAATGATTATTTAATAAATCAACAAACACAAATGAAGTTTAAAAAAAATTAATGGGAAAAAATTTCTTTATTTTGGTGGTCACGATTAACAACATAGAATGGATTTTATTTATTTTGATAAGTTGAACTCATACGAGTTTTGCTTAGACTAAAAAAGTAAAATTCCTGAGAAATAATAATAGAAATTTAATTTTTAATTGTGTCGGTTTATATCCTTCAGCTTTGAGCATGATTATATATCGTTGATTAATGCTGTTTTACTTATTATTTACCCCGTTAAGGCTATTCAGCTAGTTACTCATACTTTAATATAAGATGAACATCAGATTAAATTCCAACTGAAGTAATAAAAAAAGTTCCATCCAACTAACACATTATTGTAACAGTTTTCGACTAAAAGAAACTTAGTATATAGTAATTTAATAATGAAACAATAGATGGCGCAGGTAATTTTAGGGGACCTCTCTCAGTTTAGTTTCCAACATCAAATCTTCCCTCACAGAAATCATCCCATTGCTTTTAGATTTATTTATTTTATTTTATTCCACAACAATCATATATTTTCATCAAGACTGTTTTTATCCCCAACAAGATCCCCCCCAGTTTCTCCCCTTCCCCATCTTGATCTGGCTTTATCCCTAATGCACTTTAGATTATCGCGTATTCGAAGAGAAAATAAATGCATTACTCGAAAAAAGGGGAAGAAAAAAAAGTCCCTCTTGTCTGGCTCCCAAAAGACTTAAAATGGAATAGCGGCAATGACTGATCTATTGGATGTTGTTGCGTATGGGGATTAAGTCAGTAAGTTGCTTTTCATAATGTGGGATCAGTCAAAGAAAAATTCTATTACTCAATCAGTTTTTTTAAAAAAAAATTTTATTAGTTGAGTAAGTTTATGAAATTTTTTTAAAACAAGAATCGTCATATTTAACGTAATAATGTAAATGTAGATATAGTTAAATAAATAAGAATAGATGCGTTTTATTTCTCATTACTTAGAGGTAATGTACTTATAAAATTTTCTTTCTTCCTTTAAAGCTTATTATTTTCTTATTCTTTTATTTAGAGAGTAATATTTAGAGAAAAAAAAATCGGATTAAAAAAGTTTAAGGGCTATCGATAAAATGTAACTTTTTTGTGCACTTAGCTTTGAAAACTTTAATAGTGTAAAGCACAATTAAAGGATGCTAACAAACTGGAATTTAAATGGAATAGTTACAAAGAACAGAGAAATAAGATTAAAAAAGATTTAGAATGATCAGCAAAATTATCTTGAGTTTACTTATTTTTGGTAATTTTGTTTGAGTTAATTTTCATTAAAAATTATTTACAATAGGAATAGGATTGGAATGTAAAGAGAATATTTGCAAAAACACAAAATAGGATTAAAAAAATGTTTACGAACGATAAACGAACGAGTTATCTTTAGTATACTTGTATGTGATTATTTCGTTTGAATAAATTTTCATAAAGGAATTTTCAACTAAGTACAAATGAGGATAAATAAAGAAAAACAATGAAAAAAAAAAAAAGAAAAATGAATGAGAAATATTTTCTTCATTTTTCATCGTTTTTCTTCATTTATTCCCTTGGTTTCAATTTCCTTTTGGAATTTCAGCTGCATTGTGCGTTTTTCCACTGGAAGTGTAATTTCTAATTGCTTTAATTATTTTGATTTCTTTTCTTATTACAAATGAGGATCTTATTTTGAAAACCAATTCAATTATTGTTGCTGAATGTGGTTCTTGTCTTTTAGCCAAAAAATAATTTGAAAATTGTTTACGAAAAGTTTAGAAACGTTTTCATAAATCTTTTATTTTTTTAAGAAAAACACTTTTTTTAATGAATACTTTACATTGTTGTAGTCCCCGATAGTCGTTACTTTCTGCATTCATTATTAAGCAATTTTTATAGAGGTTAATATTCATGATATAATTTCTTAGTAATTATAATAAATTGAGATATAAATCACTGAAGTGTTTTAAATAATGTTTGTTTCTCCCATTTTCCTTAGTTAAATTCGGAAACATCAAATGTTATTTTCAAAATCCATTTCTTTTTCATGTCAAGGCTATCAATTTCTTATTGTATCTGTCTCTCTTGATGTTTCAAACATTTTTCTTTCAAGTTCTTCAGCCAAGTTGGCGCCGAAATTTGGGGAGTGCAGACATTTTTGGATCAATAGGTCATACAAATGGCTCCTTCATCCTTCACAAACTTTCGCCAAGACAGTTTGATTGATCAAAAGAGTAAACCTCTATTTATACTTAACTTTCTCGTTAAGAAAACGAAAAAGGAAACAATTTTTTTGATAGTCTTTAAGATGCTAATAAAGTAGTAGAATAGGCGTAAAATTTCTACAACTTCATATTTAAGTTTAATAAAGTTGTGTGTGAATTTTAAAAAAAGCTTTATTAAATTGTTATTTTTTATTTTTTTGATTCCATAAAAAGAATGCGGATACCCTTCATAAGTTGAGAGACAAAAATTTTATTTTATTTTATTTTATAACCGTCGTTGAACAGCAGTCCGAATTTTTCAGTTTAAGTCTAACAATGTTCAACTCCGTAGCCTTGTAATTTTGAACCCAATCCAGAAGACAAGGGAACTCCTGGATCAAGTATTGGGAGAAATTTGTCATCGTGGAGGACTTTTTGATGGAACTAACCAGCATTTGCTTTACATGGAGAGGAAAACCACGAGAACCTCCCACGGTTTGACTGACAGCAAGGGCACTTTAATCCATGATCCGTAAGACTACCACAGAGGATATTTTACGTCAGCACTGTGGTCGGTGTGTGCTGGGTGCGGAATTTGAATAAACCAGCAATCGCTGGGATTGAACTCGGGTCACCTCATTGGGAAGCGAGCGCTCTATCCCCTGAGTCCCCACGGCTTTGGGATTGATATATATTTAAATTTAGAAATCTTTTAGGCTTATTTGATAAAATTATTTAGAATTTTAAACTTCTTTTTTACCGCCATCTATTAGAAACAATTAAAAATTATGCTACAAAATGATTTTTTTAAATATATTTTATTTATAAAATAAATTTTGTAATATTGACTGCAAAAAGAAAGATATAATTGTTGATCCATAAATGTCTGAAAGAGCCATAAAATGTTTGGAAAACATAAAGAAATAAATTATGTACATGCTGTAATAAGCATTAGAGGGGCGCCTAAAATTGGCAAACTAACTTTATTTAAGATTACTTATTGGCAACACAAATTGAAAGTAGTAAAAAAAAAAAATTACCATCAACACTGAAAAATTACGAAATTAGTGGTAAGTAAAGCCCTGCACACGTAGATTAACCTTTTGCTTGCGGTGTTCCATGTTGTACCATCACATGTGGTCCACATGTTGTATCAGCCGTAAATAATAGGTTAAGTAGCGACGTATTGGTGACAGCAATTTTCTTGTGACCGCAACTCTCTATGTTCTATTCCTAAACGTCACTTTTTTACTCATTAATATTTTCGTACTCTTAAAGATAACTTAAATATTTATAATTTATTCTTTTAACTCTTTTGCTCTCTCTGAAATTATCATATTATTATCAGTGTTCAATGAATGGAATGATTTCGGGTTTAAATCATTACGGACATTATTATCAGTGTTCAAAGAAAAAGTGTTTTTCTCCAATAGTTTACCAATACCAATAGTTATTTGGTCTTTTCCAATTAAAAAAATTGCTAAAACTTTATGTACAATTAATTAAATTTAAAATGATATTTTTATTAAAATTTTTCGATGCAAACAACAAAATCAAAAAAATATTTTGAAATTGCTGTTTCATTTTTAAAAGACTAAATTAAATAAAAATGTGTTTGTCAATTAAAATGTAAAAGTCATTATAAATATTAATCCAATAAATTCACTTGAATGACATTAATATTTCCGAAAAAAATGTCCAATTTTTTCAAGACGCAATAATCTTATCTTTAATTGTATTATCTTATCATCATCTTATCTGTATTACAAAAATAAGAGTTCAAGCTATTTAGATAGATTCATTATGATCGAAATATATTATTTGTAAACGTAAATAAAAGTAAAAGTAAAGTAGCTCTAAAAATAAAGTTTAAACAGTTACTACCAGTAAATATTTTCTTCTTCTAAAGAGCATATGACATAGTAAAACAAACTTATCTACTCTGATACTGTGACTTAGCCAACAAAAACAAGCCAATGTCGTAGGACTAGTGACTAGTTAAGTGTAGTTGAGAGCTTGTCCGCTAGAAAATAAAATTTCGAAAGACCTGATCTCACCCAGTCTTAACCCCATTCTCTCTATGTATTTCTACATTGTAAAAATGAGAAAAAGATACAATGAACACGATTTTGATTTAGAGTGAGAAAGTAATGTCAGGGATAGAATTCGATGAACGGATACCACTAATTGCCGTATTTGTGAAAGATCGGGAGAGCTGTATTAAGTTCACTCGGAATTTGAGCACTTGTGGTGAGAGCTATATTAAGTTCACCGAGTTTTTGAACATTTGTCGTGAGAGCTGTATTAAGTTCAAGATTGTGTGTGTGACCTCTCCTGTGTTGCTATTAGCAGTGGATTGTGTGCAGGATCCCGTTGTATGTAAATGAGACTGAGAAGCAACAGCGTGAGGAGGACGATGAAGTAGCCACAACTAGCAATAGATGGTTCAATGTGAACCATCCATCGAAGAAGGCGTAACTGCAGAGGTAGGCGATTTCATATCACGTACGCGGGTCAACAATATGGGGCGAGTAATTATCGACGATGACAACTTTCTTCTGTCAAAAGGTAAGTAAACTAACCAGTGAAGGAACACTTAAGCTTCGCTTGCCTTTCAAAAAATCATATTAATTTTTAAGTTCGTAATTACAGTTAAATGACAGTGTCAACATATTTGTTACTAATTGCAAATTATGTAAAAAAAATTGTAGAGAATTTATATAATATTGTTTTAAAGTTTTGGAGGTTCAAATAACAAGTAGTAAGAAGACCAAGTAAAGGAATAGCTCTTACCAGTGAATGAACACCCAGGAAAGGAACACTTAATTTTGGTTATTTTTTAATGCTCTTTATGAATTTATAAGTCAGACAAATATTTAAAAACAAGCCTATTCTTGAAATTATAACATATAAATACTTGGAAATGTTAATTTTTTTTAAAATCATGAATTGAAAATTAAAGTGTCAACATATTAACACATACTGTTCATTCACTGGGAAATCTATGGCCAGTAAAGGAACATGTCTGTTCCCTCACTCGTTAGAAGTTATTTTTCGTATTTTTAACATTCTTTTGATGCGGAACATCACCAAAGGTACAAGAAAATCAAAGTTTATCTTTTATTTTCATTAACTTAGAAAAAAAATCAGTAAAGGAACACTTGTTCCTTCACTGGTTTTTCATCATTTGGTGATCCAGTGAATAAACACCCCCTTATCTCAGTACTTTATTATGCTATGATGCTTGAAAAAAAATAAAACGTAACTTCAATAACTATATTTCGAAATCTCTTTTTCACAGTGAGAAAAATAAAACTATTACATGCAATTAATTACACTTCAAACGTGTAAATACAAACACTCACCTTATAATTTTTTCAAAGAAACAAGGTGTTGCAGAGATAATAACAAATTCAAAATTTTTTCCAGAGAAGTCTATTCGACCAGGTAATCCAAAACATTGCTAGATGACTTCCTATTGTTTGACAGTAAGCTATTGTTACCAATCAATCTAAAGAAAAACCTTCAAATTCTAATTTTTAATCAATATATATGAAATGTTCCTTCACTGAGATCCTCAAAATAGTCATCACTACCTCAAAATAGTCATCACGTCTTTTATACGTGGGAATTTAATAATCGTAGTGGTAGTTACGACATAACTATATCAACCAATTTCGATATCCTTTTCTTTGGAATAATTTAGAAGCTGTTTATCGTTACTCTATATTAACATTAGTCATAGGGACTCTTAATTTTCAGTAAAAAATTTACTGAATACTTTTTTCCCCACCAAACTCTTGAATGAATCAAGTTAGTACAAAGTGTGTAGCTAAGCCTTTCTACAAGAAATAAGCACCTTTTAAGTACTTTTTAAGCACTCTAAAAATATTTTTAAGCACTGTATGCATTAACAAAATGCAAAATATATTTCAAAGACTTTACAAGATCATCATAAAATAACTAGTTTCTGCCAAGAATTCTTTTCTTGATTATATTAGCCATTATAAAATGGATCGAGAGATTTTTTGGTTCGATATAAGAGGGTGGAACATGAAGCCTGAAATAGAAAATATCTTGCAAAATGCAGCAGAGTTGCACATGAGAGTGCAATAATCTTACCAAACCCAGTTCAGTAGACGCACATGTGGACTCGCAAGTATTTCATCAATAATGCAAGATGATTGGCGCTTTCATACGCTATGGACCGACGGTGGGCCGAAATGGATTGTGGTTGAAGGAATTGTGAAAACGATGAATAGAGCAATGTAAAAAGCACGCATTTGCGTAATATATACGCATTTGCATTGTCTGAAATAGAGAATATCTTGCAAAATGCAGCATAGTTGCACATGAGAGTGTAATAATCTCACCGAACCTAGCTCAGTAGACGCACATGCGGACTCGCAAGTATTTCATCAAACATGTAAAATGATTGGTGCTTTCATACGCTATAGACCGACGGTGGGCCGACATGGATTTTGATTCAATGAATTGTGAAAATATTGGATAGAACAATGTGAAAAGCACTCTTTTGCTTAATCCGTGGCGAAAATCGACACGGTAAAGAAAAAAAAATCTCATTTCCGAAAAGGCAAAATTAAGCACTTTTGAAAACACTCAATGAGAAAAGCACCTCTAAGGGCTTTTAAATAATGAAAATCGAAAATAAGCACCTTAAAGCACATTTTAAAAACGCTACACACCATGTTAGTAATGTTAAAAAGGTATAAATGTGGAGTGGTACTTACAGGGTTTGACGTACTATTGGACACCATGGCCATGACGGCTACTCCCAAGTTACAACGAATGCCGAAACTTATGACAAATCCTAGTGAACAGAGACTGGCGACGAGGTACCGCTTGGACATATTCTTGCAGCAGGGACAGTTGGGTTCTGGGAAAAACGAGAAAGCCTTGCTTTGTTTGTGTTTCTGGTCTGGAAGCTCACCACCAAAGAAATCACCTGCTCCGAGTTCATCCTGTTTCATAAATCCTTTTTCGTCTTCTTGTTTCACGAACCTCCTGTCAAGAAACAATAATAAAAATATTTTAAGTTTCGATTTCATTTAAGTAGTTAATTTGATGTCATACAAGTCAGTTGATTTGTGTTTCAGCATGCATTTTTATTTACAGTCCGTGCCCAAATTATTAGACGTACTATAAAATTCTATGTAAAATCTTAATTATCAGGTGATACTATATACAGCTTTATTGTTTGTACGAGACGGAAACCGGTTTACACTTGTTTACGTTCGTGTATTAATTGGTTAATATTGTAATGCAATACGTTAAAAATAAAAACAAATGGGAAGTGTATAAAAAATCTCCTGAATAAAACCCCATTACATGTATGTTTAAATATAAAAGTAATGCCTATAAACTCGTGCACAACATGCAATTGTAAATACACTACAGTGCGTCTAATAATTTGGTCTAATTATTATAATATAGTAATATAATAAACATTCTATATTTATATAATATATCGTATAATTTATCCAATCGTCGAATTTATATTATATATCGTCTAATTTAACCAATTGATATTCGAACGAAAACAAGTGCAAACCGGTTTCAGTCGCGTAAAAACAATGCGGCTGTATAGTGTCACCTGATAATTAAGATTTTGCATAGAATTTTATAGTGCGTCTATGAATTTGATCAGGGACTGTACATTCAAGACGATAAAAAGTTTATAATAAACGAAATGTCTCAAACATTTTACAAGATAGGAAACATGGGTAGGGGAGAGTGGGGTCAATTGTAACATTTTTTACTTAACTATTTTTAACTAACAAAAAATCCAATATATAATTAGTATTAATTGACAGACGAGTAAAGTAGACTATCCTCTACTAGAAAAAAAAAAAAATACCTAATTTTAAATGTTATTATATTAGTTATTAACAATTTTTGACAGTCGTGCACTTGTTACAATTGTCCCCACTTACGGGGTCAATTGTAACAGTTCATAAATTCAACTAAAACATAGTTAATTATACATATTATCATAGTTGTGATATATTTTTTTATTGATCAAAATAGTAGTGATATTTTAGGAGTAAAAATAATAATGAGCAGAGACCTAAAGGGTTAAACTTTTAACTTTAAGGGGTTAAAAATTTTAATTTATGCTGTGAAAGGTGACAAATAAAATAATGCACATGCAACATAATATAAATGATATAGGAAACTATTGGTGGTTCTTAAAGAGTTAAGTAATGGTTTGTAAACATAAGATTATTTATTTTCAGCTGTTACAATCGTCCCTTTACTTATTGTTACAATTGTCCCCAAGACGCCATTTCAGCTTCATTTGTTAAAAACAATGCTAGTTAATTAGCAAAACTAATCTTTTTTTTTTTTTGAAATGTTAATTAAGGTGTCCACTTACATATTCGGTTAATAATTTTTATTTGTTTAAACAAAATTACTTTGTTACAATATAATATTCTAATACCAAAAAAAGTACTTACGTAGCGTGAAAATATCTTTTGTGATGTAACTCTTTCAAAAGTACATAAAAATGATTGCCATCAGGGGTGTACATGTAGATTTATTAAATACACCTTGTGTGCCACCTAGGAACCAAATCTAGAACCTGACACTCGAAATTTTTGCTCTGTTACAATCGTACCCTGTTACAATTGACCCCACTCTCCCCTATTTAATTGAGGAAATTTTGCGCTATAAAAGAATAAAGTTAAGGAACGTGAAAAAAAGCACAAATTATACCACATGGATTATAGTTTCGATTTTGTAATCAGTGTTATAGAATAAAGGCGGTTCTTTTCCCCGTTTTGTTCTTTTATTTTGTGTTTGAACTCTGATAAAGGTTCTTCATTATAAAAGTGGAGGTTTAGCATGTTTTTTTTTTTTGTAGTATTGTTAAAGTTACTATTTTCACTTTATTCTGGGTCCGGTTCATTTAATCAACAACCACTTCATCGACAATGCTTCGACTATGTCAAAATTATATATTTAAAATATTTTTCATTACTCACTAAAGTCGTAATGGTAAAGTATTTTTTATACATCACAACGCAAAAAAGAGTAAAAATTTTCTTCTCTTTTGGAAATTTTTTTAACTCTGAACAATAACTCTGCGAAAATCTTTTTTAATGAATTTGATGCCTTAAACCTTAACTGGTTTCCTGTTATAAATATATTTGAAAACCATCAATATTATTAAGCACACCTTTTAAATGTAACCATAAATGATCTAAACTTGCAATTTTGGAAATGTAACGATAAATGATCTATCTATACTTGCAATTTTAAAATGTAACCACTAAAATTAATTAAAAGAAATTTACTGTCATTTGTAACAATTATTTCGTAACAAAAAAATGGCAAAACTAAATGTGTTATTTTTTTAGATTATTTTATTTGAATATTTCAAAAGTGAAAAACCTCATAACCATTTTTTTCCGTAGTTTATGCTAAAAAGGTCACCCCGCCCTTTGAAAGCACTAATCAGGGTAAAATGTTCTAAAAATACACACATAGTAGCGTCAATGCCCTGTTAAGTAAAGAATTTTCATTTAGAACGAAATGATTGTTCGAAAAGTGGCATTTCGAAGGAAAAGTGGAACAATAAAAACCCACGTTTTTTTCTGGTTTAATCTATTATGATTATAATAATTTAACACTAAACATACCGACACTTAATCTATACCTATTTATACCATAGTTGATCAAATAACCGGACTTCATGTTTCTTGATTGAATGTATGAAATATGGATGTTAGGAAGGAAATAAACTAAAAACACTTCATTATAATTAAACAAAACTGTATATTGCCAATGTTTATGTATTACAAACGCAAAGAATAAGAATTTCAATTCATCGCTAAACGCATTTTTTACATATACAGGGTGTTTAAATTGTACATTTTCCGCAAACATACTTCTTCTACTTATTATTATTTCTATAATTCTCATGGTTATTCTTTTAATCGTAAGAATATATAAGAATTATAATTCTTATAATTATTCCTATAATTAATATTATTTCCACTAAGAACTTGTGCAGTCTCGATTGTTTCGACATTCTTCTGGGTAAAAAACTAACAGTGAGTTAGAAATGAAGTAAAGCTATCCAAATAAAATATAAGCTACTGACCAAAATATTTAGTTTTTGTCACTTTTTCTGACGCAAAAATGCTAATCTAAAATTTTAAGTACTTTCTTGAAATTTGAATTCACAGTTATTCTAATTGAACTCACTACGAAACAGTCTTTGCAGAAATGTGCAACTCATCGAATGCAATACGTTGAACACGCATTACATCGTCATTTCTGATGCAATAACCTCATAAAGCAATAAATTGTTCTCCCGGTCAAATGACCGGCAGTGGTAGAAATAGGTATACGACACGTATTATTCGAAACAAACAAAATAGAAAAAATTATAATAGAATATTAACTGTATATAATTGTTAGAAAAAGTCATGAAGTCAAATGTACAAAAGCAATAAGATGGTAAGCGCATTCTCGATGCAAAAGTTCTTAAACGGTTATTTGATCGGCTATGGTATGTTTAGTGTTAAGGCTTGAAGGACATTGAAAAGTTACTCAGCAATTTTTCCTATACGTTTGTTTTGTATACACTTTTTTATAAGCTAGAAATATCCTAACGAATCAGAAAAGAAAAATTAAACATACTGAAATTAATAAAATAAAAACTTTAAGAGTTAAGTTTTTCGATTCGGTTTAAATTTAATTTAGATTCTGACTTAGGAGAGCCATAATAAATCGAATTCAACTTATTTCTACTAATTCTTAAGCACTATAGCCGTTTACCGAAAAAGGCCGCGTGAGTCAGTTTATTTCATCTATATTCATTCAACTTATTTAGCCAGAAAAATGCTTCGTTTGAATTATTACATTAGCTTTTAATTATATAAATACCAAAACTTTGTTTCTCATTTATGTATTTTCATAAATCTTTTTATAGCTCTTGTTGCACAGTGGAAAGTCAAGCACAAATGTTGGAATTAATGTCATATTCAAAATAAATAAATAAGAAGATAAAAAATGATGAGTGAGCAAAAAAGAAGCACAAGTAAGGATGACAGATTTTTTAAAAAAAAGCTTTCTTTTACCCCAGTTGATTAGATGGATTTTCTACATGTTTCCTACTTATAATTAAATATTCAAAGTATGACTTAGGTGTATCATACGAAACAAAACTTAAGGAAGAGAACATGTTTTATTTGAACTATTATATATGTTGCTTTATTTGAACTAAAGAAAAAAAATTAAAGAAAAATAAAATAAAGAAAAATGAAACATATAAAAATAAAACAAATAAAAATCAAATAAATAAAAATCAAATAAATAAAAATAAAATAAAATAAATAAAAAAAACAAAAGAAACGAAATAGAAATTAAATAAATGAAATAAAATAAATAAAGGAACTAAAATAAGAAAGACAACATTAATAAAAAGTTTCGCAATTTTTTCGCCCTAAATCATTCACACGCTTTTTTTCCCCTTCCATATCAAATCGATTTCTCTGTATCAAATCGTATTCTCCGTACGATAGCCCCTGCTCCACTGAGCTTCTTTTCTGTGCAACCCTAACAAAAAACCCTGGTTTTTAATCCCAGAGTGACGGTTTTGTTAGATTGTTTTGATCTGTTCATTTCCTTCGTAATCAGAAACAAATCTTTTATGACATTCAGTTTAAAAAAGATTTTAAAAAGGATTTTCGTTTTAGAGTAAATATAGTTCCGATAATCTAAAAGATTTTTTTAGTAACTATTAAACTACTTTGTTTGTGACTAGAGAGTCGAAAAAAAATATACAAGGACACATGTGTCCCATTTGCGTCAAAAGGATTAAGGTATATGTCTCTTTTAAATTTCATTTCCGCAAAATAGTTCATGTTTGCTTAGGTTTCACTAAAATTGTGTTTTGTTTTTTTCGTGCCTTTATTTTCCATAAATTTTTAAAAACTTATTACCTTGTGATGCCAAATAGGCATTACATATTACATAGCTTTTAAAATTTCTTT